TACTAGCAATATTGGTTGACTTTTGCATTTGACTTGTTTATTTAAGAATCCAAACAGTAAAATATTTTTTTCCTCTCAATTGAGGAAAGCAGGAGTTATTTTATTGTTTTGACACTAGCAAAACATTCTCCCTCACAGAGGTTTTATGTAAAAATTATACAGACAGACTAGAAAACCTCTATCTAAGATTTTGTGGAGAGAGGTTTTGTTTTTGTTTTTTTTTTTAAGTAGCAGGTATAAGATAGTGGTTATAAAGATAGTTTCTGTTTAGTTACCTTGAATATACTCTGAAAGTACTGCTGCCATAGATGTGAGCTAAATACATAGGAGATTCCATTAGATAATGTACAGTGCAATTACATCTTCTTAATTTGTCTGTTAAAAAAAATATTATTTCCTTATTGCTAGCTATATACTGAACCTTTAGGGGCATGAAAGCTCACATACTCACATGCCACGTGTAGCAAGAGAAACATTTCATGTAGTTACTGAACAGTCTAGGAGATGCATCCTGAGATGCACCCTTACTTGCTGGTGCTTAATTTATGCAAGTGTCACTTCTTAAATTATGAAATTATGAATTCAGTAAATTATGAAATTAACTAAAATTTAAATTACACTGTGTTGTATTATTGTATAAATTATATTTGTACAAATTACTTTTTTCTGTTCCAGGAAACAAAAGCTGCGTTATTTACAAGAGCCTAAGAACTGATCCAATCCTGGTGTATTTGCTTTAGTCTCTTGTCATTTAGCAGCTGTCTGCCTCCATGTGTTTGTGAAACCATACTCCATTTGCTTTCTCTTCTTGTCCTTATTTTGTCCCTGCTGGTAGAATACTGTGAGCATTCAAAAACTCAGTGCAGCTTGCAGTGATGCTTGCTAGGAAATTGTATGTACAATTAGAGGAGCTTACTGATTTTTAATGTCTGCTTTCTTTGTAGAATACTACTATTTCTCATTAGCACCCAGATAGCTAGGTATATATACTTAAATGGCGAAAATCCCACTAGATACTCATGTCTCTTTCTATTACAAACAGTAACCTTCATTTATGCACTGTATTTATTAACTTTTTTCTATTCTGTGTGTCTACAGTATCAAATACATAAGTGTAAGTGTATATAGAGGTATTTGAGGTGTTAAAGCCAGTGTTAGCAAAGTTTGGATTAATATAGCAGCAGGGAGAGTAGAGACTTTTGAAAATTGTGGTCTCCTTGTAACAGAACATTAAATCAGAGACCTTTGCAAGGATTGAACTAGATCTCAGCTATAACTTTTTATTTACTCTGAAAAAAGTCTTGAAATGTCTTTTTGTTTTTTACACTTTTTGTTTTTTACTGCCATAGTTTTAGAATTTGGTTTTGTGTTCATATGAATGGTTGAGAATGGGCTTCCTTCTCAGTTCACATTATTGTCTTGTTATGAGAAAAAGAACAAAGGAAATTTTAGTACTTTGATTGCAGTACTGCCAAATAGCAGTGTTACCAGTATTATCACCTGCACTAGATGGTTCTTTCAGTGCCTTAGGCTATCATGTGGCATGAACTCTAGTGACAGCTTCAGGGAACGACTTCAGTCCCCAACATCAATACTACTTCTTAAATGTGAAGCAACTGCTTTTCTTTCTTTTAATGCTGCAATGGACAGTGAATTTGTTTACTTGCATCAAAAATTGTAGCCATTGTAATCATTCGCATTTTGAGCTGACACCTTGTCGGTGTTAAGCCTTCATCTACAGTACAATTGTTGGGCACAAGCCTGTTCTGAAAACTTTTTGCATCCTAGAGGTAATGCATCCACCTTCAAAACTTAATGTAGTTGTTACAGAAGTTATTGAGATACCAGGACATCAGTTTGCATGCTTTGACTTCCATTTGTATATTATATCTGTCTGGCAATCTCCATTAATGCCAAACCGCTGGTAGTTCTTGACTATAGCAACTTCTGACTTCTTGACTTCTGATTAAGGAATCAGAAAGATATGCATTATGGTGTCACAGAGGAGAAAGCTTTCTGAGTTGGGATTTTTTTAGACGTTTGGGGAATTTTTTTTTCTGTGCTAGTGCGGCTGCTTTTGTTTCCATGTTCTACACAGTCAGTGGGCAGTGCTAGAAAACTTTCTAAGAAACTGTCTGAATTCCTTATTGATGCTATGCTCTTACAGCAGCATGTGTGCCTAAGGCCTTCTGGGTGACTAGGAGACTGCAGCTAGTTCTAGCAGAGGACAGTGTGGTGACAACACACAGTTCTGGCTGGACAGCAGTATTATCACCTCTTTGGACTCAAAAGCATCTGTCCTAAGGAGACTCCATCTGTTATGCAGGCTGTTGAAAGCTTCTCACAGCTATCCTGTTTTCTAAGTTAGTAGACTATAGAGTGCCACACTAGACAGGAAATGTCTATTTCTGAAATGTTACTTTGATTAAAAATACTATGCCCAGGTCAAAATATGGTACTCTTTAGGCAGACATTTAGGAAGCAGAACTGTTGGAGGTCTGAAGTTACGGAACAAAACTTGTGAGAAAATTTAAAACTGTTAAAAATTTCACTACATTCAAAAGGGCAAGCTGAATTCACAGAATATTCCTTAGTTGGAAGAGTCCACAAGGATGCTCAAGTCCAACTCTTCAGTGAATAGCCCATATAGGGATTGAACCCACAACCTTGGTGGTAATAGCACCATGCCCTAACCAACTGAGCTAATTAGAGACAGTCACTGACATGAATTTCTGAAATTCTGAAAGAAGAAGGGCCCTATACAAATTTGAGTAGGAAAGGTAAGTTTCTACCAAAATAGGTTTTGTATTGTAACTGGTTCACATAATATCTGTGTGTTTTTGTAGTAAGGAAGAATGTGTCTTCAAATATAAATTCTTACTAGGTGTAAAAACCTCACCTTTAAAGACAAGTGTTTTAAGCAAGCGGAATGGAAAAAAATAAGTAACTTGGATATGTTGTTGAAGAAAATCTTTCCTTTCTGATTATTTTAAAGTGGAAGTTAAGATACTGATCTGAAATATGGATAAACTGTATTTAAGCCTTCATTATTTTTTTTAATCATTAGTGTAAAAGTTTTAAAATTAAGGGGATCACTCTTAGTAGAAAGGGTAAAGAAATGGTGGAATTCTGAAAAAGCCTGAGTATTTTATTCCTCTGAAAATATATTTAAGTCTCAGTGTTTACAGGTTCCTTTCTTTTGCTTTAGGGACAAATGTCATTGTTTTGGCTTTTTAAAGATTTTTCCTAGCAAAATGAGAATATGTATAGAAGCAAGAAATAGAAGTAGTTGAATCATTAGCAAAGTGATGAAAAATATGATGTCTGAAGTGTAGTTCTGAAGAAGTAACAGTTGAGTTCTTCAGCTTCTACATTTTATGGTATTTTTATGAATGTCTTGCTTAATATCCTGTGAACAATAGTTTAATTTTGTAAAATAAAATGTTGATTAAATCAATATGGAGATGTAGACATGTACTGTTCTAAAAATCAGTTTTCCTGGTCTTTTTTTTTCTGTTCTTTTGTTTTACAAGATAGTCAAGTTTGCTTCATTTTGGAGCATGCTGACTTTGTTTTACTGTAGATTTAGGGAAGAGCAAAGGAAAAAGTATTGGAAGACCAGTGTAAAATGTGCATATATTTATGAGAGAACTGTAAGGAATTTGCATCTTGTCTTTCTGTATTGAATAATTAGACTTGTATTTGAAATCATTTGCTAATTGAAATTTAAAGATCTGTTAAGACTGCTATTTGAGATTTGTCTTTTAATATTCTGCTTGCAAGAGCATCATTTGGAGGCCAAACAATTACATTATGATAAGTGAGATATTGATGGGTTCTAGTCCAAAATTCTGATCCTGCTGTTTACAAAGATTTAAATTTGTTTTTACTGATTAGGAAAATTTTGCAAACTCAGTCTTAATTACAGTAAATATAAATTAATACTTAGAGCATGCCATAATTAAAAAAAAAATAAGTCATTAGAAGTATTTTTTCCCCCCTCTCTCTTATCTGTCACGTTTCTGTACATAAACTTGTGTGCAGGCTATCAAAGTGTTTGTAGAAAGGTAAGGAATAACCCCTGTGGCACAGTGATAGCATGCTAAACTTTTTCTTCTGTGGATACGGATACAAGGTAATCCAACATGGGCTGGAAGAAAAGGTGCCGGCCTGCATGTGCTCTTTGTTTTCATTGCACTTCCACAAGTGCTGGTATGATTCTATCATTCCCTGAACAAGATCCTATAGAAACTCATGCTGTTTTCTATACACATGCTTCCTAAAATGTCTCAGAGTGGAATTAAATAAATTCTAGGTTTAGGAATATATATGAATAAATAAGGCTTAGGACATCAATTTGCAGTGGCAACTGACTGTTGTTAGTGGCAAGTGACTGCTGTTGGACTGTTAATTTGTGGCAAATATAATGTGAGAAATTTCTTTAGATCTAGGGCTTAGCTAGTGTTCTCTTTTGGTTTGGTCCTGTTGGGTCTTAATGATTTTTTGGAAATAAAATTATTTCTTGCTGTGTTTAAGATTTTACATGGCACTTCTGATTGTGTAGGCTATTGGCTGTGGAGAGGAAGCAATAGAACTAGCAATGCAGGGTTAGAAAAAGTGTGACTTTCAAAATTAGGGCTAAAGCTTTTCCTTTTTCATTTTTACTTATACAGTTCTTGTCCATTAAAAGAAGGTAAATTTAAAACCTTACACTGATGCTATATTATAAATGCAATTTTGAATGAAGACACCAATTAGATATAGGCAATTGAATTGTAGTTAGATGATGACTAGTATTTTAATTTTTCAATATGAAGGAGTGAAAAAACTGCTTCACGTGTGTGATTTTGCAGTATCTTTGGCCATTGGCAGAGTAATTGTGCCTTTCATTTGCTACCAACATTTCTGATTGGATTATCTCATATTTTCGGGAAATATTGGTTGTCATTAAAAAAGATGAAATTTGACCTAATGTTTATCTTCATTGTCATTTTTTTAAGGACCTATTGAGTTTGAAGAATGTAACACATCCAGTGTAGCTGAAGGTGAGTTGCCATAGCATAGTTATTTACACGAGAATTCTGTGGAGTAGTACTTGAACTGTGAAGCAAAGGGTACTCATCAGTGTGTGAGTCTGTATAAATGTAAAGTGCTCCAGTAGACTAAAATGCAGTTTTTCTTTTGAGAAACAAACTTCAATGACAGTAAGACTGATGCCTTCGGTTTTAGCTTTTAAATTTTTCAGATTCTCTGCTGCCTGGTATGCAACTCTGAAATTTCATATTAGATATTAGTAGATTTTCTTCACCGGGTAATTAGACAAAACAATCCCTTCCCAAGTAGAGAATCACAGACAACCATTACCCAGAAACCATAAACAGCGGCAAAGGGAAGGGGGCAAGCCATGAGACTTCATGACCTGGAGCTGTAATTGCACAATTGAACCCAATATATAGTTGAACCAAAACTTACAAAAGTATAAAACTCATGACTGGAATCCATCTTGGATTCATCCTGGGTGTAGCCCTGACCAGGCTCTTGTAGTGTCCAAGGCATATCCTTTTAAGGCATTTCAGTAAATACCTGTTTTGTTCACTTAGCTAAGTCTAGTCTCTGTTCCAGATCAGCCTTTCTAGGCATCAAGTCCTATAAAAGCTTTAAAAGAGTAATGCATAAAAGTCAGATAATTTGAGTGTTTCTTACATGTGTACTTTGGCTAACACTTGGTCTTTGCAGAGGTTTGGATTTGATTCAGTTATGAATGTGTTGTAGCTTAATTTGCAAGTGTCAAAACAATGGGCTCTTCCCATTGTTACTGTGTCAGTTAAACTAAGGCTAATGTAGTGTTATGGTTGCAAATTCTTTCTTTGTTGGTGCAGCCTTTTTTACTTAGGGGATTGTTTAAAGTGGTTAAGAACTGCTTTCTGTCCATAAGCTATGTCTTTACTTGTGGGACTGAGGAGTCAGCAGTATAACTTACAGCATCCAAAAGCTTTTTTAAGTTGCCAAGATTTTGGCTGAGACATAAAATCTCTTCTAACTGAAGCAGAGAAGATCCATATTCAGAAATTAGTCTCATACTCCATTTGCCATTATTTTGGTCTACATAAGACACAGAGGAAAAACAAAGCCCAGACAATTAAAAATAATCTTGGAAAAAATTATGTTCCTCAGTATATATTATTGACTCTACAGCTACCTGATTTGAGAAGTGGAGACATTTCTTATGCACTGTGTAATATATTTTGGTAAAGGTAAATTCAATAAAGTGCTTGGATTAACAGTGGTTTAATTTTGGATACCAAATTATTTCTACCACTCTCCTCAAAAGCATGCTGCCAGTAGTATCATGCATCAAAACCAAATTGTAGACTAGTTGGATCAGATGCTTGCACTTAGTCATTTTGTTTGGCAGTCTGCTTTGCCTCAGCAAACATTGTCAAGAAGCAGATGTGGCAGTAAGTCTGAGGGAATATTTAAGTGTATTTTAGTTTTAGTACATTAAGTGGGAATGAAAGTAATATGAAAGCAATGAAAGTACTTTTTTCAGTACCGTAGCTGTATGTATCCAGTGCTAAAAGCAGGGAAGAAACAAAAGGGGAGAAGTGTAATTCCAAACTCTGTGAGAAGCTGTATTGGAGCTGGATGCAGCACTGGGAAATCATGAGCTCACATCAGCTGGAAAGCCAAGAAACACCCTTATTTGTAATGGGACCAAGATACTACTTTTGAGGAAAGACAGGAGCTTGCAGCTTCTGGGAGCACACAGGGCAAAAGAAATAACAACAGGGTAACTGTTGAACTGCCGTAGTTGGGGAAGGCAATGCTCAGTTTCTCATCCATGACTATTCAGTATCACTTGGAGCAGCATCCTATTGAATTTTTGTGAGCAGAATCTTCTTCCTCAAAACTGTTTATTAAAGAAAACAGAGTCTTTATACCCAACTTGGAGATCCAAGTCAGTTTTTTAAGAATTTTGTAACTAATGTGTTGAACCCTATTTTGATTTTTTTTTAAATTGGTATTTCGCTTAAAGCAAATTGGAATACTGTTCCCTTAGTTTGGATCCATACCTATCTCCACTGCATACCTGTGGCAGCATTTAAAACATTGGATTCATGTGCATCTGTGTTTGTCATTGCTAAATATGCCTTTATCTCTTTGATCTATGAATGAAAAGTGTTTGTTCCGTAGGAATAAAACCACGGAAAAGGAAGCCTTTTGGTTTATCAGGAATAATGAAAAAAGAAAAAGATACTGAATCTGTGTAAGTATATTTCCACCCTGAAGCCTTGTTTTGTATGAAAACTAGTAATGGGGATAAAAAATAGCCAATATTTAACCAAAAAAAAGGTTTATAACAGCCGTTTGAAGGAACACAATGAATACAAAAACATCACAGTTATTTACAATTTTTGTGACCAAGGATTTTAACATAAATAACAACAAATAACAGGCGTATTCATAGTAGTCAGCTCATGTCTCATTCTTTCCTGTGCATAGGTAAGTAGTTTTCCATTCTTCTACATGTCAGCTTTGTAGATAATGTAATTTACATTAATCCTAGTAAAATATGTCTGTATGTGGTAAAAGTACTTGATGGCTGTGTTTGCAGATTTGAAGCTTCAGGTATTCTTCTGTTTGAGGAACTTCTACATATACCGTCGAAGGACAGAAAAATGCAGTATATCATGAGCACACTGCCTTCTCAAACACCATCACTCTAGATCAGGACTGATGTCCCAGATATACCCTATGCCATATTCTTTACATGTACTCAGTCTTTGAGGAGTTAATCTGTGCAAAAAGTGAGTTTGAATAACAGTCCTGAGGGGAATTATTCACAGTATCTATATTAGTATTTATAGTCAGTGTATTTTTTTTCATATTTCTACATGTATTTTCTCAAGAAGACAGCTTACAATTTGACAACTTTGACAATACAGAAATATTCCCAGAGGCAACATCTGCATATATACTTTTTAAAAATAATTTTTAAACTATTCTACCAGTGTTAGTTTTTTTAACATACTGCTGGAAAATTCGCGACCTAAGGACAGCAGGTGCTAGTAGTATTTTGTTTCTATATTCACACACTCTATGAAAGTGCCATAGGCATTTACAGAGATTCTTGCATTAAACCATAACTACTAAATGAACTAGAACATAACAAATAAATAACAGAGGCTTCATTATGTGTTTACATAATATGTTTTAATACTTCTTTTATGATCTCTTTAAAGATATAGATTGCTAGTCTGTATTTTGTCTGATTTAATCTTCAGCTGATGATCCTGTTACAAACTGGAAATGATGAAACTGTCATCAGAAACTTCTCTGCACAGAGAAATCAAGTCCTCCCTTGGACTTGTGTATATTAGTCTGTGAGCTTGTTTCATTTGTTTAGGACAAGCTTTCTAAATCTAGAAAAACTCTCATGGTTAGTAGGCTTTTCAGTTTGTCAAGATAGTTTTCAAACTGTTGATGCCTGAACCGGTGTGTCTAGTAATGGTTTTAATTCAGGGAAATACCACACAGGGTGCATTCTCTTATATATTGCTGTAGTTTAGCCAGGGATCACACTTCTAACCACTGCTTTGCATTATTTGGTTGTTTCAGTTTTTATCTAGAATCCTTAAATTCCCTTATAAAATCTCTGTTTTCTGAAACACTACCTTATAGCAGAAGCATGACCCAATTCTTTAATTAAAAGGAATGATCTAGTAAATCTAGTGATTTAAAAGTACTTTTATCTACAGCTTGATGTCCTTGTTCTCCACCTCACCAGCATTTGTAAACTGCTGTGTTTTCCTTGCATCTATAGAACAGATCCTGGGAGATGTCGGTAGTACTCTTCTGAGTCTAGATCTGCCATTTCTGTTTAAGATATCTTAGCTCACTAATTTTGGACATCTTCATTGTGGGCTGAAATATATTCATTCATTTGCCTTATATTTCACATTTCTCAACTGTTACGTACCTCAGGCTATCTTGTTTGCATACAGACACTTTTTGAAACCATATCTCTCAAGAAAAGAATATGCCTTGTCTTTTCAAGTAGTAAAATATCTTTCAGAACAGCTCTGTTGCTATGAAAGATGTAAACCAAGTAGAAATTTGATCACATATGTCTTCTTTTGTGCCAGGCCTTTCAGAGAAGATGAAGTCCTTCATCTCACTGTCATTTCCTTAACAAGCTGTACTGAATTTTGCATTAATGCTTCCATGTTAGCAAGTTTTTTGCACCTGTTTTTAACACACTGTAGTAAAAGCTACATTTTTTGCTTTTAGCCTATTTATTTTTTCAGAGAAGATGTTTTAGATTACAATGCATTTTGTTTTTGCCATGTTCTTTTCTCTATACATGCATGTGTCGGATGTTCAGACTAATGATATAAAAACATTCTTGCTCAGTTGCACCATCATGATTTTTCAGGGTGCAAATTAGAGAGGACTTGTACGCTACTCAAGTATTCCCATGTTCTGTAAATGTAATTGCTTCTGGTTTTTGAAGGCATCAGAGAGAATAGTGTCATTCATTATTTTAAGTATTCTACTCAAATTGAAGTTGCAGTGGAAAAGTGTAACACTTGTGAATAATGTGCTTGCAACCACTGCCTTCCTGCAGACAACTTACTTTTTTTTCCTAGAAGTGCTTTCTAGGAGGATACTCAGTTATTTTGTTCAGCATCTTCTAGTACTTGACTGCAACTATGCTTGACAAACATGAACTAAGAATGAAACTCTAAAAGAGAAAGCTCTGAATTCCTCTCAAGAAAATCTTAATTTCTTTGTGAATTGGGTTTTGTCCAAAACATTTTGCACTTGCAGGTAGACTATTTTATTAGGATTGGTGACTTCTACTTATTGCACCCATCACCCATGAAGACCTGAAACTTAAAGTATATTCATCCAGAACACAGTGTGGTAGTCCTCAGTTTCCTTGATTTTTTTTGTTATTATTTCTAATTCTTTTCAGTAATATGTGAGTTTGATTTTTCATTTTTTTTTCTGATTTTTTTCTGCAGTGTTTTGAGCATAAGCTGTCAGCTGTTATTTAAATCTTATTCAGTTGAATGTGGATTATTTAAAGTAAAAATTTGAAGAGTATGAGAGGCAAAAGGGTCAAATGCACTGTCTTAAGTTAATTGAAAATATTGGAGGAGATTTTGTGTGAATAAAATAAGTTGTGCATTCTATAATTGTAAATTTTCTTTTTTTTTTTTTTAAATAGGGAGTGTCCAGATGCAGACTCAGTCGTAAGTAGACTTATTTCCAAAATAAATACATATGCTTATACTATCAAACCCCACAATCTGATGAAACTCAACTTACATACAGTCCCTGCAATACATAATTTATCTGGTAAAAGATTTAGTATTCTTATTGCATACTCTAAGTGTTAATTTTGTGCAGTACATGATCTTCAGCGGTATGTACAAACAAGTGTCAGTAATACATTTTTGTTTCCTAATAATATTAGGTTTTAAGCAAGGTGTTTTCACTGCAAGTATATGTTACTTTATTTTTCAGCTAATAGTCTGAATTCCTTGGCTAATAGATTCTAAGAAAGAAAAAAGATGTTGTTTATTGTGGACTCAACTTTGTGTTGTCATATTCCTCTGCTTACTACTGTTTCTTTTGAGAAGTCCTTCTAATATTGACTGGGTTCTGCTTTACCACTGGCGATAGAGTGTAGGAATATACTGTTTAAAATATGGCTGTAAATGCAGCATTTCTAGATGCACTTTATTAATGGTCTAGTTTTCATTACTGTTAGGTCTGTGATATGCCTTACAAATTTTTTTAGTCAATTCAGGTAAGTGGCTGTTTCAAATTAAATTAAATATGTTAATGATTTTAATTTCCCTAATTTAGTCTTTTCTTTTTATGCAAACACATATGTTCTCTTGAATTAACATATAACAAAGATTGTAACTCCCTGCAGCTATGTTTGGGAAAAAATTACAGAGCAATCTAAGTGATTTTCTGTAGGCTTATTTATTTTTCATTCATTCATTTAGGTGCAAATTATATTACACAATTTAAGTTTTCAAGTTCACTTATTTTGTGAATTTTCTGATTTTTATTTGGTAACTAGGAGGTTTTAGTACCTAATATTAAAATTTGTTTTGAGAATCTTGATTTAAAACATCTAGTAAAACTATCCTTCTAAATGGGGAAAATTAAGTTTTGCCACATAACAGAACTGTATGTGTAAGAGCAGATGTGTAGTTCTTGCCAAGACAGTTACTTTATATTGTGCAGTCATCTTGAATTACAGTAAGTTTCTTTCCTTGGGTGCATTTAAAAGAAAGTAACAATAGAAGTATCCTTATAATTTTCAGGCTTCTCATGGAAATAAAATCATTTGACAGTTCAGGTTGAGTCATTTGAGTGAACCACAACTGGATTTGACTTGCAGTGTTTATTTTCTATGCTTATTTTGTCTCCATGTTTTTGGAAAACAATTAGTTAAAAAAATTCAAGTATAAATTGGTTTGACATACTATCTGGCTACATGAGGCATACCATATGATCATCTAGGTTAATTGTTGATACTTTTGGTTTGACTTTTTTTGCCTGCTCAGTATTTTGTGACTGCATTTGGAATTTAAAATTTGGTCTGGGATTTCTGCTTGCTTTTTTCAAGCCACAGTAGTATTCTGTATAGTGATTGAGTGCTTTAAAAGCAGAAGTCATTATTGTAATTGTAGTGAAAAAATTGCAGAGATTCATTTCATCTCTAACAAACAAGCAGTCCAAAATGCTTTTATGTTTTAAGGCTGGAGTCCTCTTCTGAAAGGTCTCATTTCAAATGCTTTTAATTTTTCTTGGCTTTTACTTATGGGTTTCCTTTCTGTTTAATTTTTCAAACCTAATCTAAATGCTTTGAACAGTCTCTATCATCTCTAGGAAGATTTGTTTTGTATGGATATTTGCAACAAATAATGCATTTCAAGAAAATGAACTTGGAAAATTATTATTAAACAAAAAAGATTAAAACAATATTAATTTGTGTTTGATTGCTAAGAAATACTGAGGAATAGACCTCAGAAAATTCAGCTTAAGATGTCCCAGTTATTATTTTGTCAATTTTGATCACTCACAGAAAGCCTCTCTGGCATATATATGATTAACATGGTCATTTTTTAAAAGGTGGCTTTTGTTTATTTGTCAAGAATTTTAATTGTGTGAAAGGAATGTAAGAGATAACCAGTCTTCAATTATATATAAAGACCAAGGTAAAAATACTGCAAATTTTCAAGTTAAGGATGTAGCAAGAACTGATTTCTGTATATTATCTACCAGTTCTGTGTGCTTCTGTGGATCTTTGAACCTACTATGTAGTCAATACCGTGAAGGCCTTCTCACTAGTGCAAAATGTGTAACACAGTCTATCAAGCTTCTATTCTGTTTCCAAAAGCAAAATGGTGAGATGGGTCAAAAATGTCTTTTGTCCCAAAATCTTGTCACATTTATATGTGGTGAGACAGATACGCTTATGCTCATCCTTTTTGTAGCTGCCAGATTGGAAAATAAATTAATAAGACATTAATTCCAGTAAGTATTTTTTTGTAATGGCTGTAAGAGGTTTTCGTGTGCTCACAGTAGGCAGCTGTGGACTGAGAACTGGTATTTGTTGAAAAAGTTGACCACTTCAATAAGCAGTCTCTGTTTAAATATAGGTGACAGTATCTCATGAGATTTAAAATTCCTGAGTTTTTTATATGTCAGTCTATAGTGTAACTTCCATTAAGCTAAACCTTGATAATTGAGAAAAGTGGAAAGTCTGTAGTAGAAAGTGTCACTTGAAAGAGGTAGAAGACTGACTTTGTATGGGGGTTTTGCCTTAGAACATTTTTCTAAAGGCTGAAATGTCTTGTTTCCCATGAGTTTGCCATGTCTCTAGAGATGTTCTCTAGGAAGATATGAGCTCTATAAAAGCTTTTATTTCAGGAAAACATTTACAAGGTTCCACTTTGTGTCCAGTAAGATCTGAATTGGGATTGCAACCCTTCCCTTGGTTAGGATGCTTGCTGATCTCGTTCTTCTACTTCACTGCCTATTTTCATGAAGACTGTAGGAATGTAATTATCTTTGAGTTCTCTGTTCTTTCTGTCAAATCCATTTGAAATTGTCCAGTAAGTTCAAAAGTAATTAAGAAGGGAGTCACGGATGTACAGAACATAATGATGAAAGGTTTTTTTTCCATGGGAAGCTGAATGCAAGCACCTATCAAGGCATCCAAAACTTTTCATTAACCTCTTAATATGTGAGATTATATAGAATTATAGACTCATTTTTTTATTTTTGGGGACTGGTTGAATTTGGAACCATCAATTTCTGAAAAGTGGAACAGAAGTGTAATCTAATATTTATTGAAATTCAAGTATTTTTCTTTATTTGCATTTTACAGCATTTTGTTCTGGCATTTTTCAAATAGTTGCTATTGAGGAAAAGGTTTTCTGTCACAGCACAAGAAAGGGGCACTTTGAATTCCCATTTTTCTTTCTTTCTGCATTTCTGACAATAGGAGAAACTGACTGTCTGCTCTCTTCTTCTGTGTCTTTTGGGTTAATAGGCACCCTAAGGAGAGGAGGCCAATATTATGCCTTTGTCTTAACCTAAGTATATGTCAGAGTCAAATTTACACCTCAAATATGTCAGAAGTGGAGAGCCTTTTTGTTCTCTTGTTCAGCCTGTGTGCTTCAGCTGTTTACTTTGAGTCCTCATCCGGATTACAGGAAGCCAATTGAGGTCTTGCAGAAAAAAATAGAGTGAGCTGTTCAGCTGCATTGCATCTTGAGGCATACCCTCAGGAAAACTTAATAAAGAGTTGTCATAACCACTGTAGTTATCCCAGGAGAAGAGAAAATATAAAGAAATCAAACTGGGGCATGGTGAAGGTTCTTTGCTTCTGGACTGATGACCAGCCTGTCAGCAGTGCTAGTGTTGCAAAGGACTAAATGATGTAGCTAGACCACAGTGCTCTGTAGTCTAGCTACATCATTTAGCCCTTTAGTCCCCTGTCCTCTGTATGTAGCCCAGAGACACTAATGACATGGTAATGGTGTGGCTTCTTCAATCACTTTAAATGACAGATGGGACAGAGCAAGGAAAGTAAAATAAATTATTCACCAAAGCTGAAAAATGTGTTTCGTTAATAGAATGCTTGGTCCTCAAGCTTCTTATATAGGAAATTTAATTTTATTTATCAAGGCCTGATGTTTTATTTCTTTGAAAATTTATTAACCCCATAAAGGTTGTGGAATATGCCACAGCAAAGACAAAGGTATATGACCTAAGTTTCTGGTGTATGTTTAAGGCTATATAAGATCACAATTAATGCATTACATCTGCAAACACATGGCTTTTACAGCTACATGTTTAGTTGCTTAACAGAACCTCAGAAAGGCTTCCCGGAAATCCACCAGGTGCAGTTGCTTTTGCAGTTGCTTTCTTTCTAGTTGCTTTGCAGAGTTCAGTTCACATGCATAATGAGGTAGTTGGGAGCTTTTTGACTGTAAACAACACTGCACATATTTGTGTAGGAGGCTAAAGCAGACCTCCATCCCCATTTTATTAATAATAACTTTTCCCAAAGGCAGAAGTTTGCAAAGATCATCATCTTTGTGTGTTGAAGTTCAAAAATTATATATGTAGGTTGTGAACTTAAACTCTGATCAGCATGGTAGGCAAATCAGGTTTTATTTGTGTTGTGTGCCTGATATTTAAGATACACTGTTATTCATGACATAATATGTAGCTCTGTAATTGTAGGAGCGTGGAAAAGGGAGTAAACATTAGACAAATAAATGTAAATGCCTCATTAACATCAGATTCATGAGTATGTGTCTCTCTCAGGTTGCTGTGTTATCTATTCCTGTTAGTAAATGTAAATTTGCAAATGAAATGTTGGTATTTCAGAAAGCATATTCATCAGTTCAACCATTCAAAATATTAAGAACAGTATTTTGAAATACTAGTCAACTTCTAAGATTGTGAAGTATCATTTTACTTGTGTAATTTGTAATCAGACACAATCTGCCTTTGTCTGTGCAAAGGTATATCAAGTATCTATTCCACCCATTTTTTACGTTGGTTTATACAAAAATATAAATTCAGTATCTAGTTAATTAAAGCAAGTGTTAATGATCATAAATTGGCACAAGACTCAATCAATCTGAATTGCTGACAAGGCTAGAAATACAAGGCATATTATTTATGTGTGTATATGCTGTTTCATGTGAGATGTTTGAAATTATTTAAATCCATGTATTTAAATTTCAAATATAGGAAAAAACTACAAATTAAGTTTTCTGGTTTTCTGCACAGAGTTTGAAAAGAAGTGGTAGCATAGACTAGCTGAAAGAGAAGGAAGGAATTTTCTTCTCCTGTGTTCGGAACTTAAGCTGTACGGTATTCATCTCTGTTATATACATGAAGTTGTGAAAACAGACTGCATGCTGAAGGGCTATTTCTCAGGAATAGATGATTCAAGTACATTATCAAGATCAGAAATAATTGTCATGAAAGTATTAAGAAAGAAAGTTAAATATTTTAAGATTTTGGTTTTTTCTTAATCCTAGAGATTATTCAGTAAATTAAAAATAATACAATGAAAATAACTTCTACAAACTTAAGTTCTCTCATAGTTTAATATCAAAACAGTGAGTTTTGCCAGCTACATTGTGCATGCTGTGTCAGCCCAGTAATCATATCCTGTACATATATGGCCCAGTTTTAAGAAAAATTAATTGTTGTGTATTTAAAGATTTTTATTGATTTTCAGTTCATCTTGACCATGAATGTCCCTGATCTATGAAAAATCACCTGGTGTGACAACTAAATTAATTTCAGAATTCAGAATTTGTAGTATTACAAGAAAATAAACTTATTCTGTAGCTATAGGTTTTTGTTCTGTTTACTTTGATGTCAAGTTTCATTAGTGGTTTTTGGTATATAAACAAGGTCAGCTTGAGGTCAAGCGTACCTAAGAACCTTGATTTGAGCAAGTAGAGCTAAAGTATTGGACCGTGTGATTGTACTGTTATTACTTTTTTGTTGGTGTATTTATTTATTTATTTATTTTGATGTGGTATTTAATTTGGTATGTCTTACATCTGTACAGGACTGTATTTCTTATACTTTTCTTAGCAGAAAGTTTGAGCTATGTGTAATTTCCATTTATTTCAGAAGTGCTAAATTTAGGGAACTGTACAGAAGAGACTTTCTCTTAGTGAATTATCAGGCATCCCATTTGTGATACCTGTAAAAGATACAGAAGGATAACTACATTTGAATCATTTTAATGTTCATGTTCTATACTTCCAAAGCTGTTCAGAGACATTCTCTTTAAACTTGGCTTCAAATTTTATCTGAAGTCATGAGGTTCCTTTCTTGTCCACTTGAAATCACCAGCATAAGTCATTTTGTTGTATCTCTTGACTTCTAACGGATTATGTTTTGGCCATACTGTGTATACATATCTGTTGGTCAAATTGGTTCCCAGTACCTGTTTTCTGATAGAATATACTGATGCTACACTAGAATAAATTATTTTTATATGTATACATATTCTAATTTTTATAGCATATTTGTAACTACTGAAATCACTGCATTTTGAAGACACCTTGTTTGTGTTTTTTGTGATAAACTTACTGAGACATTAAGCAGTTCACATACACTGCCTATGCATACAAAGTTGTGAGTGGATTATTTTGGTTCTGAGTGGGGAAAGTATCTACATATCCATGTTTTTCCTGTATATGTAACACATGATGCAGGGGTTTTGTGCATTTTTAAAATTTAGATTAACTTGGAGACTTGTTTCTCTCTGTCCCAAAGTTATTTTAATGAAACTATATGCTTAGCTGGGCATTCTAAGTTATTTTAACATCATTCTTGTCAATTTATGTTTAATTGCCCGCAAGAACAGACATACAGAACTTAAGTTCCCAGATGCTTATTGGCTTCGAAGATTCAGGATAGTGTTGGAGATTTGTAAAGGAAAACTTGGGAATAAAATTTTGAGCATCTGTGATGTGGATATTCTTTTCTGAAGTAACAGTGCAGGCATGCTGCCCTTGCTAGGGGAAGTGGAATTGCAAGCAGCGCTTTGGCTAGCATACTTAAATATTGACTAGTACTTAGGAAAGGTTTTGCCTCTGCACCATCAGAACACCTTGTGTCTTAGGTGAAAGCAGTAAAAATTGGGAAATTTTTCTGGAGCCAAGAGGATTATAACCTAATTTAACTCAATACTAAAGCGAAAATAATATTGATTTCTGTCCTTTTTGATAAAGTAATTGATTAATAATGAGTAATTAGTAATTACAATTGGTAATTAAGTAGTGATTGATTATTTAAAGCAGATGCCCTTCAAACTTGCCAGTTTTCTCAGGAAATTTAGAGCTTGTTTTGTTACATTTTGTGGTGAGATACCTTCTGAATGACAGATCATAACTTCAGATAATTGTAATAATGTTGAATAAAAATCACTTTCATGAGTTGTTGCAACTTTAATTTGTCAATGATGTAAAATTCGGTCTGATGTAAGAATGACTTACATTCTGGTTTTTTTAGTTATTTATCAATAGCATAATTTTTGTTGTTGTTTTTAGAACTTTCCTGATGTAGATGATGAAGGATACAGCATTAAACCAGAAGCAACACAAGATATCCTTTTTACTATTATTGCGCCAAGTTATTTGATGCTATTACAATTCTTCGGAAAGAGGAAGTACTGACTAAAAAGTTAAGGAAGATGAATGACATTTATGCCTATGTTGCAACCTTGTATTCTTACACTCGTAGTTTTTGTAAAATGAACCCAGTTTTTTCTTGGATGTGTGTGTGCAAATGTTAAAGATTAGATTAGATTAGATCTGATCTGATCTGATCTCTTGGGAACTTTAAAAGGACAGTAAAAATGAAAAGCAAAACATTGCCAGATCCATTGCAGATCCAAAATTCCACACAGATCTCTCTCCATGAAAAGCTCTCAGAGAGTTTATAAAGTTTGCAAATTTTTTAAAGCAAATTGAATGGTTATCTGTTCTATACCTGCACCCTCACTTTTTTTTTGTAGCACTAGAGTTACAAGTGTAGAAATAGAATTTCTGTTACTTAATGAAGTCATTACACTACATACTGTTTCAAATTGGTGCTTTTAGCTTTTACAATCTTTTTAATAACTTCATATTGAAAGCTTTATTGCTTTCATATACAGAGCAGATTTTGTTCTGAGTCACCTTTATTGAGGCTGAAGATTTTTCTCTGCCATTCCCCTGTTGCTTTGGAGAAAAATTCTTGTCCACTTTTTTTCCTACCACCACAGAGGAAAGTTCTACTTAAGAGCTGGGAATAGTTACCATAGATCTAAGCAAGCTTAGTATGTTGGCAAGATAGCTAATTTTTGGAAATGTATTCACTGAATTTTCTGGGTACTTCAGATAAAAGGTGAATTTGGGCTGTACCATTACCTTAAATTGCAAAAATGTTTAAGTAGTTAACAGCTCATTACAGTGGCCAGGTCATCATCATAATTTCTTTGTTTTCATCAGCTTTGCAGAATATTCCTCTAATATCCACATGGAAGAGTCTTGTAAGAATAAAAGCCGTTGATGTAATCTGTTTAAAAAATTGATATAAAAGTGACAGACTTTTATCCAGTTCTAAGAGGATTGTTTCATGTTTTGCATGTATTTCTGAAAGTGAGAGATAAGTTAACAGCATTCGTGCTTATCATGATAAGTGAACAACATTATTCATACTTATTCATTTGGACATCTTATTTTTTATTATATCTTCTTGTGAAACAAAAGAAAAGGCATACATTCTATGAAAAATATCCATGATTTTCAATCCCTCATAAGGTGGTACTTCAGCTGCTGAAAGTCTTGACCAGCTTCAGGAATTTATCAGCTCACTTTCTCTTTTCCTCCCTTAGCCTCTAGAAATTTATTTTGTTACTGGGATCTCATGAGATAATTTGTTGGAGGACATTGTTTTATTATAATGACAGTCAATCATAATAAGTGTGACTTAAATCTGTATAGGCCAAACACTTTACAAGAACTGTCTTATTCGTAGGAAATTAATCTTGAAGGTCAGTGATAATGTTCAAGACAAGAAATATGTTGATGAAATTAGAATTACTTTTCTTTGAAATCTTTTCTATAAATGCTTCATTTTGAAACAAGAGAGGTGTAAAATAAAAATACTTGGCTTTTTCCTCACCACAGCTTTCAGATCCTTTCAGCTGAAAGGGATTTGGAATGTTAGGTTTAAAACTTTGTTATGGAATAGTTTGAAGGAATTTAATGCAAAAGTCTGTCGTATTTTCAGGTGAAAATAACAGAAGTGACTTAGAGAATACGTACACTTCTTCCAGGTGGTACAAAACTTTGTGTTTCTGTAGATGGAAATTTTCGAATTTTTCTTGTCAAAACAAATGCAGGTTTTAAGACTTAACTTGGGCCTTTCAGAGCTTTTCTTCAGTGCAGCTCCTGTGCAAATAAAGTGCTGTTTATTTTCCTTATTTTGAGGTCTGAGATGTCATTATGATTTCTTTCTGTCCAAAGATGACAGTACTTTAAGCAGCTGACATTGTTCAGTTTACTGTGCAGTCTTCTGTTTAACTGGCATCCTTAGTAAAGACATTTTTAGTGCCACACTGTAAGAGGAACAAGTAACGGTGGCTCCTGCTCTTTCCTTCACTGTTTATGTTAGGTACAGCTACCATGGGCATTTCACTGCTTGTTAAAAAACGTAGGCTTTTCTTCATTTGATTTAAAAGACTTCTAGATTTTTCATACATCCCTTAGAAACCCTGGTGGAGTCTTGCAAACTACAATTTTGCATGTAGAATTGCTGCTTTAGAATCTTAAATTTAACCTTATGCCTTCAAATATGCAGTTATTCATTTATATGACAGATACTGCCATTCTTCAGTTATATGACACCATGGTTTTTTGAACAGAATCATCATTCTGAAGTTAAATGGAATAAACCCCTAAATTTTAACTCTGAATTGTGCATTTTGGACTGTGGATATATGTAAATGCGCTAAGAGATCACTTAATATGAGCATTTCATGGATCATAATTATAAAGTAGATTAAGCAGATGACTTTGAGTTATTTCTACCTTAACTGAGACAAACATACCAAAGAGAACCATTTCTATTCATCCAGTGAGTCTGACTCTGAAGATGATGAACCTAGGAGGTTCCATGTAGAAATAAAACCTGTCCAGCCAAATAACAGCTCTCAATACACTATGCCTTCTTTGGATGAATTAAAAGTATCCATAGGGAACATCACTCTTTCTCCAGCAATATCTGTAAGTATTTTGTTCCTTGTATTTTTATGTATAGAAAAGTGGCAAAGAAACAATAGTGTAAACATATATTATAATGTTCAGAATTTTTCTAGGTTCAGTAATTCTTTTTTCTTGTGCACTAGGTCATTTTTGGTACATTTCATATTCCAATATATATAGATTGCGCTTTTATATTGCAATATAACATTAAGTACTTTTCTCATATTTAAAGTCTCCTTTGAGACTTTAGAGTGCTCAGTTCTTGTGTTTGTGCTTGTGCCACATGAGACATTCAATTACATCTTAGTGTTAGCTGAGCATGGCTTTTAACGTAATTTGAAAATTAGTTTTCAATAACATACAAGTCTTTTAAAACAGGTCATATAATGAGGATACATGTAACATTTGCAGTGCAGCTTTACTGATTTATCCTGCCAGTTCATGGAATAATCCTTTATACCACCAAATGATAAATAATATTAGGGTATGCAAGTACAGTATTCAGATCAGAGTGAGACTGGTTCTGATTTTAAGGAAAATAGTGTGCATAACATATTAAAATAATAATTTTTCTCTTTTTTCCCTCACCACATTTTGAAAGCAGAGGCACAGTCCTGTAAGTAGAGAATGGCTTTTTATTTGCATTTGTAGTTAAAACTAAGTGTAGTGTGTGAGGGGACTTGTTGGGAAAACATGAGGAGTGCTTCGTTTCATCTGTACCATGTGATAGATACATTGGCTGTTTAATTCTCTGTCCCAAACACTAAAGAGATTTAAAAATGCTGCTCCTTTTGTCAGCTCTGCAATATTTATTCCTGCATTTTCAAACTGGTATGCTGCCTGGTTGCTTTGTCCAGACTCATGTTCCATGGTCTTCCGCAAGCTCATGATATTTTTACCTGGCACTGAAAATAAAATATCACATAAGAAGTTGAGTGGAAATAAGAACTCTTCAACTGTTAAGTGGTTTATTTCACAGTAGAAGAACTTATTCCTATTTTTTTTCCTGTTTCAGGCACAAATGAATCAAAATTCATCCAGTAAGTGTGAATCTTTTAGTCTGTTAGTTTTTTAACATAGAATGAAAACAAAACTTTTTTTTAATTGTTGGAAACATAAACTTCTTAAATATCTATATTTTAAATTGAACAAAATGCTTCTCTTGTTAGTTTTATATAACTATTCCTTATCTATGTACTTGGCTGTTCCCTGTTGTGAGGACCTGTCTGACAGTAATGAGGAACACATCCAGATGCCAAAGGGGTTGCCCCATAAGAAAAACTTCTGTGCAAGTTCCTGAAACCCTTCCACCTGTTCAAGTTTAGGATGATCCACAAACCAGCAAAGAACACCATGTTTATGATATAAAATACTGACATAGAGGATAGAGCATTAGCTTCTGTTACTCAGGGTTGGGGGTTTTTGGTTTTTTTTGTCAATGGGGAACCAGACGAGATTTGCTGAAGAACATTGTTGTAAACAGTATAATTCAAGGAGGAAGTTTCAAGCAAACAACATTGCCTTATGAAGTGCAGTGGTCTATGTAGTCTTCTCATAGTTAAGGAAACTTAAGTTATGAGAAATCATACATTTTCTTTTTTCCATTTTGATAGTAATTTGTTTGAACTGCCAACATGAATGTTAAATATCTTTTTATAATGAAAATGAAATTTTTATGTTTCACACTTTTAGTGATAATATGGTATCCTTTTCTTAGGTGAAGAGTTAACAAAATCAAAATTTTCTGCTCCAACTACTGAGTAAGTTAAAATTTTAAATTCTATCAAGTGCTGTTTTGCAGGAAGTTGTTCTTATTTTTCTAAACTCAGAAACTCATTGGAAATGACAGCTGAGTCCTATCTTAAGTTGTACATCTATTGCATTATAAGCCTATGTATATCAATGGATATTTACATTCATTTGTTTACCCCTTCTAATACATTTGATTTATTGTGATCAATCTCAATTGGTATTTATAATTACATAGCTACACAATGTTTTTAAATAAGACAGACTTAGTCTTCCATGGTACAGTGTTTAAGATTGCAAAAAACAAATTTACACTGATCTGCATTGCTTATGTGTATATATGCTGAAATGAATGAATTTGAAGATGTAGGTCTCAAAAAGTTACAGTTATTTAACTGACATTATGGAGTATGTCCCCACACAAATTTTCACCGAAGTTTTGGCTAAGACAGTCTCCTTATGTGTAAATCAGTTCTTTGACCTGCAAATTTTGACTACTTCTTTTCTTTTTAGATGCAAAGACTAATATAGACTAATTTGTCAGAAGTTTTTATCATATTATTGAGGGACTTTTTACAAGAACTATGTAGTGATAGGACTAGGAGGAGTAGCTTTAAACTGAGAGTAGTATTATATTAAATATATGGAGGAAGTTCTTTACTGTGAAATCTGGTGATATGTGGAAACAGGTTGCCCAGAGAAGTTCTGGATGCCCTGTCTCTGGAAATGTTCAAGGCCAGTATGGAGGAGACTTTAAACAACCTGGTCTAGTAGATGTCAGCATGGTTGGAACAGAATTTTTAAAGATCCCTTTGAAGCCAAAATGTTCTGTAATTATTATAATTATTATATTATCAAACTACTAGTGAAGTTTGTGATTTTTATGAATGCATAAATCTTTAATTTCTATTCCAATTTTAACTCTTAATATAGAAAGGGGAACAGTGACTTCCTCGCATGGGATCCACTCTTCAGCACTTCTCTTGAATCTTCCTCTTCAGCTTCTTTGGCATCCTCATCTTCCTTAGGTAAAATATTCATGGTAGAGATGGTGTTCAATATATTTCTGGATGTTGTGGTTTTTCAGTTACTGCAAAGGGGTGTGCTTTGATGCATAAATTATAGAATTTTATAAAGTAGTATACTGTCTTACAAGTATTACATGACTGAGAAGGCAGCATATATGGCTTTCAAACTAGAGAGCAAGAAGGAAGAGGGAGCACTAGACACTTCAAGAAAATTCTGTTTTGCTCCTGCCTTTTTTATTGCCTTCTCATACTTACTGAATAATTGCTCATCATCTAGAATGTAATCAATTTTTTTTCAGGTGGTAAGGCTGGGAGATTAAAAGGTGGTTGTTGCAGCAACTGTGAGACAAGCTGAGCTTGCACAATGAATTGGGATGGATTTCTTCTTTCCAGGAAAGTTGGCTGGGCTATGTTGTACAAAGGCATTGCAGAGCTTTGCTGTCAGGAACTTGTTTCCTGTAGGAAGGCATGATTCTGTTGGGAGTTGTGAAAGCATAATCCAAGGGGAGAGGGATAAAAATGGCAGGACTGAGACATGAATTAAGCTGAGATCCTGAAAGCAGGGATATTGCAAGGAAAATGATGGTGTGTGGCATATGGGAGGTGGAGGGAGAGAGCTCATGTTGCTTGGGAATTTTGGGTTGCAGGATATTCGTGTTGGTATGACAAGTTGGCAAGCTTTCCTGAAACCTGGTCTTTGCAAAAAATAGTTCCATACATCTTTTCAGTCTGCCTACTGTGTATTTTTACTCAAACATGTTAATTTTTTCTTAATGTAGACACTTTCCTCCTCCCACACACCTGAGAAAGGAAGTGTGTTCACTGATTTTTTTTAACTAAGTACTTGTATTCCAAAAATAGTCCTCACTTCCTTGTTCATTATGGCTTTCTAGTAGTTTTCTTCTGTGCATAATCATGGCGATTGAAGAACAATAAGGAAGATTACATGTATCAGTAGGAGAATTCTGAAAAACAGGTGTTATTTTTCAACTTAAGTAATGTTCTTTTAGCAGCAATCAACATTGCTTTGTAACACTTCAGATTTTAAGAACTTAGTCTTTAACAACAAATTGATGTTCCTTAAAGGTTACAGTTTTAATAAATCTGGCTTACAGAATTCCTTATAACGCTCTCATCCTGATTTACATAATCAGTCAGTAGTATTGGCAAGTGAATCCACCATGTGTGTGGTGGATTCACATGTAAGAATAAATTCTAGAGAGAGATACATTACTGGAATTCTCTGAAGAAAATTGGTGCTTTCTTAAAATACTCAGTTTTGATAACTTTGGTCTTGTGTTGGAGTCTGCAGAAAAAGGCAGAGGATACTGAACTTGTTGTACTGGTGGTTGTAGCTGTATTCAGGTGTTTATTGCTGTGCCTGGATGAGAAGTGAAAACAGGTTAGGAAGTCATCATACAGTTCCTCCTGACAGCAGAATTGTGGAGAAAGTAGTCTCTGGCTGATGTGTAATGACAGAGATCCATAATATCCTCTGTACCTCTATCTGACAGGGAGTCATCTACCCTAGTCATACCCATTAGGGTTATACACAGAGCCCTGCAGTTCATTGACATTGGTGCAATAGTGGGTCTTGTGGGCATAAATCAAGTTTAGATACATCTGTGCCTTGGCAAACTTTATCTGAGAAATAATTCTTTCAAGCACTGTTGTTCTAGAAGTTAACTAAGATATTTACATTTGTGAAATAATCTGTAGAATTAAATAGAAAGTAAGTGTGCCAAAGTACAACAAATTTCTAATACATTTGGGGTAAAAAAAAATTGGATCAATGTAAGTCATGCTGTTTAAATTGAGTTCTAATGCTTGCTAACTTGCAAGTAAGTTTTTAAAGTTTTTAAAAAAATATTTATCAGATGGCATTTTCCTCAGAATCAATGTTTATCTTCAGCTTGAAGGTTAGTAGTAAGCTGGTGCTTTAAGTTTTTGAAAATCTCAGTCCCAAACTTAAATTACATACATTAGTTGTGTGGAATACCGTATATGTCTCTTATGGTTTAAACATTTGTTTAACTATTGTTTTATAACCATGTTAATCATTGAACTCTTAAACTACCTTGGTATTTGAGCAGACAGTGGTTTATGCAACACAGAAGTAATCTTTGGTCATCCATGAATAATCCCACTTTATTATAAGTTTAAGCTAACTTTGTTATCTTGAACAAACACAACAGACATTTTTTAGCTAGTTCTTGATATTTAAAAAATGCTTCTATTAGTTATCCTCCTTATTTTCATCCATATGTATTTTTTAAATAGTTCTTAACATGTCCACATTGTTTTTAAATAGGATTTTTAGTAGTATTTTAAAGCTTTTGAATGATAGTTAAAATATCTGCTTGAAAGGGAAAAATGTGTTAAAATTCCTAATGTTAGGTGGACTTGAAGAATGTATTTTTTTATGGTGAAAGGACCACTGTAGTAAGGAAAACTGTACTTTTGATCTGAACTTTCAAATATGTTTCTTTTTTTATTTTGGTTATCACTTCTGTTGCTCCTAGCTCTGCCAGTCTGCAAGATGATGAGAATTGACTAACCTTGCATTTTCTGCTTCTATTGTCATCTAGAGCAACAGGCAACAGCAAATGCAGGGAATACTTGTGGGAAACTCCTTTTTTCAGCAGTCATAAGATTATAGGATGAGAGAGGGGAAAAAAACTGAGGTGGATGATGCCTCATCCATATTGTTACTCACAGATTGATAGACACATTAACTATCAGACTGAATCTTGTGGCTCCATTGTCTTCATTCATTCACCTGAAAGCCAAATCCGTTGGACCTTCTATGACAAATATTAGGACTAAGAGGATCAAAGTCTTTGGAATAAGCAGGATAGGTTTGATTAAATAAGGAAGGAAATTAAAAGCAGAAAGCTGTGGAGAGGAACCAAAAGTGGAGTAGGATGCAAGAAAGAAAAGACAAAGATGAGAAAAATTAAATCACAACAGGTAGGAAGTCAAAAGAATAAGGAAAGTTGTGAGAAATAGAGCCTTAAGTGGAGACATACACAATAATTTTTTTTCATGTACTAAAAAATGGAAAGGGACGTGGTTGGCAGTATGAATTAAGTACATATGATATGTGACTGGCTTTTTTCCTTCTTCTATTTGTGAGTTGTTACTTTAGTAGAGCAGTTATTTTTCATGCTGGCTGGTAGTCCTTCTGTAGTGGATATTGAATACTTTTTTGAATATTGAAAATTTTATCTTTTCATTGTTGGTCCTAGTTTCAATTCTTCCCTTTTCCTTCAGCTACCCTAACAGAGCACAATAGAAGCTCTTCATCATCTACCACTGATTTGCCTGGGTGTAGAATATCTCAGTCTTTGCTTGGACACCAGACAGATTCTGGGTCTACAAGCCCATCCTCACCAGGCTTTACCATGACCACTTTGTGCAAATCTGGTGTTACAGCAGCGCCATCAGGGAGTACCAGTACTTTATCCTGTTTTTCACGGTCTCAGAGTCAGTGGATTTCCTTTGCTGATGAACTTCTTACAATTAGACACACAAGCACAGACAAGAAGGAGCCCCAAAGATTGCATTTTAAAACTGAAAATGCCTGCCTTGCCTCTTCTGCTTTGCTTGGGAATTCTTCCAACAGCTGTGCTTCTGAGGATCAAAGCGACCTTTTCAATAACTCTATATGCCATGAACAATTATTCATTGAAGAAACTGGCACTGCTACTGAAATATCTTCTGCATCATCTTCAGCACTACTGGACTATAGTTTAGTGTCTTCTTGTGCTCATACAAATAAGGGTATGCAAAGCATGCATTCTGTACTGCTCTTTGCTAATAACTGACTCCAAAAAGCAAGCTTTGGATTCATTTTTTCTTTTTTTTATTACTGCTCAACTGATGCTAAAATTAACTCATCTTCTTACTTAGAATGTACTAAACTGCTTGTTAATACCAGTTGGGACAGTGAAGTAAATATTCAGCTTGAAATCAGAAGAAAATTCAAATTATTCATTTAAAAGCATTGCTTTTTCTTAACTATGCAGTGTTGCTTTTCTAGAAATGAGAATGTATTTTTGTGGGATGTCAGACAGTAATGAGATCTCAAAGATTAAGCAACTGCATTTGCAAAAACAATTTTTTTTTTACATACAAGCTTCCAAGAGTGGTTGGTATAAAATCGCTTGAGAGAATTGAGAAAGCCCATGATGCTTTTTTTAGATGCAGTTTTCAGGGTATCACATGGCACTATTTTAAAAGCATTTATGATTTGTGGTAACTGTTTAAACATGGCACTTGTACAATAGGAACCTCTAGTACAAACATCACTTCTAGATATTCTACTCCAGTACATAACTATTTATGTTCAGTGTGATATTTCTAATATTTTCTTAACTTTGCTTTATTTCAGCAAGGCCCACCACTCCTCTTTCTGTGGGCACCATTGTACCCCCGCCAAGGCCTGCTTCAAGACCAAAGCTGTCTACTGGGAAACTTAGTGGGATTAATGAAATAGTACGTATTGATTATTATTTTTTTATTTGCCATTTTGACTTGATTTCAGATACACCATTCATTTACTCTGTTACTGTGGAATTACTTTATAGCCAATGTTCAAGGAATCACATAGGCAGGTTTTCAACATTGCCAAATAGGCATGGTAATAGTTTATGATAACTATCTCATTACAACAGATAATTATTAACACAAGTACTAAGGTCCAAACCATAATTTTTGCATCAGCTGAATGGTTTTAATTGAGCAAATCGGTAATTTGATAATGAAAAACAAAATACTATTGAAGTTATTAACAAACCTCCCTTGATTTAGGGATATCACCAAAGCTCTGGGAAATGAGTGGGGTTTTTTCAATTGTATGTTGACAGAAGTAGCCCTGTTGTGACTTCTCCTTGCCCTTGGTGCTGGTTTGTGGAGAAGGGAGGTGGTAGATCACAGCAGTTGCCCGTAAGGATAGTGAGAGGTTGCACACTGTCTGCATGTACCTGCAATGTGGGTTCTCCTGCCTATAAGGAATGTGCTAAAGAATGCAAATAACCAAACAGCCTATCAGACTAGGCCATGCCTTATTTCCTCTGTAAATATTAGTATTCTGCAGGTTTCACTTGACTTCCTGACTAAGAAAAATGTTCCTGTGGTAAAATCCTCTTATTGTCTTTCAAGGTCTGAAGATATTTTCACCATATTCTTGGTACAAACAAAATTCTCATCTTATGCTTTGACAAAACTGAGAGAATATTTTAAAATTGTTTCACTTTTCTGTAGGATCAGAACAGAGTTCATTTTGAAATTCTTTTCTCTTTCCAATGCAGAATTGTAGTAATTGCTCTTAGCCCAAGGAATCTGTTCTTCATGTCATTTATCTGTTCTACTATAAAGTATGATCCTGAACAAAGCTACATTCATTTTATACTGTTGCTTTTGAAATTTACTATTATCTGGATACAAGTAGAAGGTTGTCTGTTTTCTTCATTGTATGTTAACTCCCTTTACAATTCTCATAGTCTCTATCAAAGCCAAGAAGTGCAACAAAGTGGGGGGAAAAAGTTACTGTGACATCCTGCCCTTAGGGGAAAGGAAACACCCAAGATTCACAAATGCTAGGGGTCAAAAGGAATGACTAAAGTCAGAGGATCCGTAAAACTCACAAAGCTTTATTATTAAATTATGCACTTGACATGGAAATTGGTATGTTCGTCCCTGACCTACTATATATGTGCATGACAGTGGGTTCTGGATAAAGAGGTAGAATAAAAAAGGAAGAGAAAGGAACATATGAAATAAACAGGAAGAGAAAGGGAGAGAGATCACCAGTCCTGGTTCTAGTGTCAGTTCAGCTGATGGAGTATCCTGGATGGATCACCTAAGCTTCTTGGGAGTACCAGTTTTCCGTACCCTGGAGCTACGTTTCTTGTTTTCTATGCAATTTAGTCATCATGCACAGTTCATTCTTTCAGACCTTTCTGGAATTCAGTCAGAGGGCTTTGGGGGTCCCGGGTAGTCTTGTCCCCCCAGCCCATACCCATTTCTCTGCCTCATTCCTGCACTTGTACTTATCTGCAGGAGCTAGAGCAAGACGTCACAGAAAAGTGCTGCCTACCACTGCATTGCGCCCTCTCCATCCACATCTTGTTCTTTTTCACTTTGTTTTTACCAACAATCTTTGGTTACTATCAGCAGACATCATCAGTTGGTGCTAACAGTCCTTGCTTATTAACAATGATCTGTGGTTATTACCAGCCGCCTTGTCTATTAGTACCAGCAATCCTTGGTTATTACCAACAGTCCTTGATCAGTATCAACAGCCCTTGGTCATTATCAACAGTTTATCTGTTATTACCAACAATCCTTGGTTGGTTCCATTGTCATGCAGCTATCAGTGTTTCAGACATACACATTAGCCCCTTTTCATCTGTGATTCTACAGTTATCCTGCAAAATGATGCTTCAGGGGTTTCAGTCCCTTTCAGATAGGTTAACCCCAGTGTGATCACTAGTTAAATACCTTAACAGTTAAATGTATCCTAAAACCATCTAGAGATTTAGAATGGAAGAGACTTTTATGTTCTCTAGGCCAGCCTACTCAAAAAAGTGCTGACTTCAAAATTGTATCAGGTTGCTCAGGACCATGCTGAGTTTTGAAAATTTCCAGAGTGGGAGATTTTACAGTCTGCCAATCTGGCAGCCTGTCTCAGGATTTTACCAAAAGGTTGCAAGAAGTACTTTTTCCCAAAGTCTGGCTGGCATTTCTTTGCTGTAGCTCTTGCATCTCTTGGAAGAGCCTGACTCTGACTTCTTTGTGTGCCCCTTTTTACCTAGTAGGAGCCTGCTAATAAATCTTCTTAGGCTTCTGTTCTCAGGGCTGAAAAAACCCTGGTCCTACAGCCTGTTCCTCTCTTGATCCTGTACTCCAGTCCCAACTATTTAAATTGCCCTCTGCTGCTCTCACTTCCAATTTATTAGTAGCTCTGCTTTAGCTCTCCAAATCTATGTTTCCACACACACAGCTCTGTAGTCTTAGTTTCTGATACCGTGTTCTGTTATTATTATTGACAGGCTGTTGCATAATCCAATATATTAGACTTGACTACTCTATCAAAAAAAGCCTATAATATATGAAATAATGGTATTTACTCTAATGGAAAATGCAGGTTCTCTGTTTTACATGAAAAACTAGTGTAGATAAAACATTAAAGAAACTATGTTGAGAAACATTATAGAATTGATTGGAGCATGAAATACGAACTTTTCTGTTTACAATATTTTGTTCATGTCTTTAAAACCACTTTGCGTTATATTCTTGTGATCTCTTCTGTTCAGCCTAGGCCATTCAGCCCTCCACTGATTGCTAACTCAAGTCCACCTCCAGCAGCTCCTTTGGCACGTGCAGAGAGCATTTCTTCTATATCTTCTTCTGCTTCCCTCAGTGCAGCAAACACACCTACAGTTGGTAAGTTTAATTAACCATTTTATCTTACTGGAGAAATAGGACAACTCAGCCACTAGGCTGCACCTGCTGCAAGAAACATTTATTGGAGTTAGTTCTTTCATATGCGAGCCCAGGGCTTCAGGCATTCTTTGCAATGTCTGCTTCTAAATGACACTGAGACACAGGAAAATAGATTAAATTAGATTAGACCATAGACCCAGTTATGGCATGTTCTTTAGGGAAATATTATTCACAATTAACATTCCATGAATTCTTATTTGGTATGCTTGTATAGCCATTAAGTACAACACGTTATCATATATTTGTTCAGAAGATGTTATTGTATAGGTACAGAAGTACTTAGGGATACTGAAAAATCTGAATGAATACAAATGTTCACAGAACTGAGTTCTTTTATGTTCTAATGCTTATTTTTCTGCAAGTTAGTTAAGAATATGAGCTAAGCAGTAAAAGCAAAACAAACAATTAAACAAAGATCAAGACGGAAAGGAAAGTCTTCATGTGTTGTCCCTAATTTCAGAAGGTTTTCTCTTGTTTTTAAAGGAAAAGTTCAGTTTGATATTTGATTATCATAGATCAAAAGGAGACGTTGGGGGTTTTTGTTAGTTTGGGAAGGGGAGGGCTTAAGACATTTTAACTTGTCTATTTAGCAGTATTGAACTATTTAACTTCTGAACACAGTTACACCTTTAGACACAAGTTAAATCAAGTTGTCAGCTTATCATTTAGTTATCTGCAAATTTTATTGATGCCAAGGATTCCTCACTCAGGCTCAGCAGCTCTGAAAAGCATCTGTGCAGCACCTAGTGGGAGTTCTGCAGTGGAGTCATTTCCACCCTGTGCAGAAGCAAGGCTACTAAGTTCTGCCCAACCTTAGCTCTTACAGTTCAGTATCCACCAATTTCACAAATGCTGAGAAGCATTGCAGAAACACAACTAATATTTTGGTTGCCAGAGTCTATCCAGGCTCACATCCTCAGGTCTGAGCTCTGGTGTCGAGGAACCAAAAGTTGGTGGCAAGAGTGTCAATATCCCCCAGCTCTGGGGACATATGTGTGTGTGTTGTTGGAAACAGTGGCAGAGTGAAATCATGAAGTGAGGCAGGAGGTAAGGAGGTGTGTGCTGACAGTGAAGCTTGATCTGGTTATTATTCTGGCCTAAGAAAAATAGATAAGGCCAGTTCCATCTGCGCTGGCTGTATGAATTAAATAGCCTTGGGAAAATGGGAAGGACAGTACAAAAAGCTGAAATACTTTGGGGCATGAGAATATAGCTTGCAATACATTCTGTATTCTTTTAACTTTTGCACAATCCAGTGTTCCCCTTACCCAATTTGTTCTGAATAATGGAGAATTGACTGATTGTCTTCTTCCGAGTGAACTTTAAGGCATGCGTAATTTAGTGCTTCTTTTATGCTTTTGCCTAAATTTAATTTGGAAAACATTTTTAATGTCAATTTTTAGCATCTATTTTTGCTTGAAATATTTTGTTTTCTTGAAATGTTTTGTTTCATTTAACTGTAATAGACGATGATCTTTTGATTCAAAATCTTCCTGCAATTGAAAAGCTTTGTGAGACACTGCCAGGTATTGTACTCAAAGCACATTTATGTCTTAGCTAATCATCCTAATATACTACATCTAATAAAATTGTATTTCTTTTGAAACAAGTCTCTCCAGATATTTCTGGTATCTGGCACATACAAGTTGCTTGACATCTCAAGTACATAACAAGTTCTGTGTTGCTGAAATGACCAAAACGTGATGTAAACACTTTTATATAATGCTATCTTCTGTCTATCTAGTTCCCTGTTCCATAAACAAGCTGAAATTTGGCCTCGGTTCTTCAGTTTGTCATTGCTACTTCCTTTCAAGTAAAGTGAATATATTTTTACTTCGACAATCCTAATTCTCCTAACACCTGTTAAGAGAATGTTTCTATATTTACATAAAATATGGATCTTAGAAGGCAGACATAATAAAGATTGTACTTTTTCAGTAAATTTTCTTTTCATGACAGCTCTTTTGCCAGTATTAAAACTGTCTGGATCTTTGTTCCTAAACTGAACTAAAACCATTTTATCAGCTTTATTTAGCTGTCCTTTTAATGACCGGTGATGGAGTCTTTTGTTCTGCAGTTTTGGTCTGCACTTCAAAGGTGTCAATGCAACCGCTTGCATGGTTATGTTACTAGTTCTTGTGTCAGCGCAGCTCAGGAGCTAGTAGTGGTGATCAGGCTGAGACAGGTAGCAGGGGCATTTAAGCCAGGTTTGCCATCAATACCAAAGGTGATAGACCTGGAGCCTTGATCTGGGCTGCAGTCTGAGAGGAAGTTAGGATACCTTCATGCATCTCTGTCACTTCCCTTCTGTCTGAGACCTCACAACAGATGTAGAAAACACTGAAGCTGAATGTTGCTGCAATGAATTGTACTCTCAGCAGCAAGGCAACAAAACTGTTGACTTTCAAAACTGCTGACTTTCAGCATCAGGACAGGCAGTTATGTTTGTTACATATGATAAAATGACAGAATCATGAAGGATGGGAAAAGACTGCCAAGATCATCAAGTACAGTCATTGAATGATCACCACCTTGTCAATTAAACAAAAGCACTAAGCACTTCAGTCATTTCTTGAACACCTCCAGGGATCATGACTCTACCACCTCCCTGGTAGCCTATGCTAAGTGAATAAATTCTTGCTGTTGTCCAGCCTGGATTTCCTCTGGCACAGCTTGAGGCCATTTTGACTTCTCCAGTTCCTGACTGCCTGGGAGAAGAGACTGTCCCCTACTTTGTTATACCCTTTTTCAGGCAATTGTAGAGAGTGATAAGGCTCCCCCTTATCACTCCTTTTGTCCAGGCAAAACATACTGAGCTCATTTAGCTGTTTCTCATATGACTTACTCTCTAGACACTTGCCTTGCTCCATTCCCCTTCTCTGGATGTGCTCCAGCACCAAAATGTTTTCCTTGAATTGAGGCGCCCAAAACTGGACACAGTACTCAAGGTGTGGCCTCACCAGTGCTGAGTGCGGGGAGCAATCCCTGCCCTGCTCCTGCTGGCCACACCATTGCTGGCACAGGCCAGGATGCCATTGCCCTTCTTGGCCACCTGGGCACTGCTGGCTCACGCTCAGCTGCTGTCACCAGCACCCCCAGGGCCTTTTCCTGTGGCAGCTTTGCAGCCACTCTGCCCCAGCCTGTGGCACTGCCTGGGGTTGCTGTGACCCAAGGGCAGGACCCAGCCCTGGACCTTGTTGAATGAATAGTAATTTATTTATTTTTCAGTTTATTGGTTTCTAGGAGAATGCATAGATTTTTGAGTCAAAAGGTGATGAACAGTGGGAGCAGAGTAAGGAAGAGAGAAGTGATCTCATTTGTGGTTCCCCAAATAGGTCTCAGAGAAATATATATACATATATATTTGCTTTGGTGTTCCCTGAAAAAAAGTTAAAAGCATTTTATTTATTCTAATAAATTTCACTTTTCAGTCAAGCAAACAGTGTTTGTCTTTTACCAATATGAATATAAAGAATATGTTTGCATTATTCTGCATAATTTTTGAAATATTGCTATAAAAATGTACGTAAGGCCATTAAGTAAAAGATTTTAAAATAATTGATATACCTGTATACAAGGTAGTCCTTTTGCTCTACAATTGTTTGTTGTTCCTTAGTGAATTGGCAGAAAAAGACATTAAAACAGCTCAGCAACTGTAGTGACACATTCATTGAAGGTACACGTTGGTTTTAGTGAAGAATAATTCTGGAGTTCAGTATTTCACCAAACAGAATTTCAAGTAATTGACAGTTCATAATTTTATCATATATTTGCCTCTTGAAATAATGGTTTCTGGATTCCTGAGACTATTGAGAATCACAGCTTTTTATTGGTAGTTTTCAGGGGCAGAAAAAACTTCAGAATCTTGATCCATGTGTTGTCTGAAAGAATAAAGAAAAACAACCTACTGAAAAAAAGAATAAATCAGTGGTTTTTAGCCAGAATCATACTAATTAGTTTGTTTAAGAATTTCTGATTTTCAACATTTTTGACTAGATCTTTTGGATCTAAGGAGGCCTAAGTGATGCACAACTGTTTTTATGGCACTGACAAGCACTCTGAACATTTTACTACCTTATGTGAGAAATTGTAATGGAGAGAGAGGCATGAGGTAGCAGAATTAGACTAGCTGCTGTCTTTGGTTCTCTTTCTGTCACTACTTCATTCCCTTGTCTCTTAATTTAAGGTCTAATATGAGATATTAGGTGCTCTGTGAAGAGCAAGGTCCCAACTTTCTTTTTACTTCTGAAGGAGCTCAAAAAGGACAGCCACTTAGAGTAAGTAGGTTTAATTTGCCATGGGCAATATTATACAGAAGCATTTTGTCTCTCCTTTGTGGTATGAAAGAGAAATTTTTCAATTTGCTTATGAAAAGATAAAGACTGTGCCTCCTTTGTGATAGGTAATATTATGTGATACAGACCATTTTTTCATGGTACAAAAAACATAAGACGCTATCTACTACACTACTGCACTAAGAAAAAAAAGAAGTATTGTCTTTCATATTCCATACACATGTAGAAAATTTGTGAAAAATGAAATCCCATGAAAACCTGTTTCATCAACTATATGCGCATTTCAAAAAGCCTTCAAATGAGGTCTTGGTTGATATAGCTCTGTATTGGAATTGTGTTGTGTTTGCACAAGCAACAAGTGAAAACTTCTCCAACAATTTCTGCTTGGGAATTGCAATGTTTGTTGGCTGAAAAGGTTAAAAGAATGTTAAACCGTTCACTTATGTGGGGTAATATTGATGAATTTGCATTTAAGTTCATTTTTACTGTAAGAGAATTCTTTGTATTTCTGTCACCATTTTATCATGCATTTTTCCATATAAAAAAGCATACAGTAGGGATCTTTTTTTAAAAGCATTCTGGTCAATTTGCTTTGGGTCTGTTGACTTCACCCCCACCAGTAGCCATTTTAATGCTGTGTTCCTCTATCTCATGTATTTCCTTCTGTCTGTTTACATAATGTCATACCAATAGTCATACCTATGTTCTTATGCTGCTGAGCAGCATTTTGGTGATGCTATTGTACTGTACTATCTATTTCTACACACCTTACAAGTGATACCTCCGTTGAGACTGTAATGTTGGTGTAAACTCTTGTGAAAATTACAGATGTAGTCAACCATTCTGAACTCTGCTAAGCTTTTTGAAAATTAAATTTATACACTGTATGTATTCTAGGTGTTTCACGTGGTCCCAGCCCCGTCAGCCTTGGAAACCAGGACACCTTGCCTGTTGCAGTAGCTCTTACTGAATCTGTTAACGCCTACTTTAAAGGAGCAGATCCCACAAAGTTAGTTAATAGTGAATTGTGTTGAATGTATTGAGTTACAATGAGAAAAGACAATGGGTCTGTTTTCGTACTGGGGGAGGGGAATGAGTATGCATTAGAAGGGGAATTAAAAGGGGTTTTTTTCCCTGGGTATGAATGAGGCTTATTGCTCTGCAATGGCCTGGGTCCTGCCAGGAGTTCATATATACCTGCTTTACACAAATGTGTTCAGTGACAGCACAGAGAATGACAAGGATTTTTATCATTGTCAGGTAAGTATTACATATAATTTTGTGCAGCTGAAAGCACTTCCTTCCCTGTGACATCCTTTGCTATGCTACTTAGGCCTTGCCTAGGCAGAGCCATATTGTCATGTTTTCAAAACTTGAAAAATATCCAAGACTACTGTATGCTTAAGCAGTTAAATCTTTTTATTTCTTATTTCATCTTACTTCCAAGCTGAAAGTGGCAGTACTAGTCACATTGGCCTCATTTGAGATTGATTTTCTGTTTTAAATTTGGTTCATAAGATCATGAAATTATAGTGGTTGCTTTAAAATAAGGCAGTAAATGAGTTGCAATGAAGCTGATTTTTTATTCTTTTCTAGATGTATTGTGAAGATTACTGGTGATATGACAATATCATTCCCAAGTGGGATTATTAAAGTATTCACCAGCAACCCATCTCCTGCTGTGCTCTGCTTCAGGGTGAAAAACACCAGCAAACTAGAGCAGATTCTTCCAAATGCACAACTTGTATACAGGTTTCCTATTTTTTTAACATAATTGTAAGCTACATAATTTGTGGAATTGTTGTGTATGTAAATCAGAATTCTTTGCAGTCTGGTTGATTGAATTACATGTAATTTAATTTTCTGAATTAATCTTGTTCAGCTTAGTTCTCTCTCTCCACTGCCACTATTAAAAATATCAATGACTACTGGAATTAAAAATTGTGCTGAGTATAACAGGAGCCATAAGAAATAATTTGTAAATGTGTCTGTCTTTTCATATGCATTTAATAAATACTTTCTTTACACAGCAGTAATAATGGTAAAACTTAATTATGAAATAGTAGGCTTAAATGGAAAACAAGTAGTAGGAAATTCGTGTAATCTCATTTGCCATCTACTAGTGTATTTTAATCATTACATTAATCAGATTCTTTACATAATTGTCTCTCAGATGAGTAGCAGCATGCTTGGGAGAATTTGTAGGAAAAAAAGGTTGTTGATCAAGTAGGATAATTGTTGAAATTGCACTTGGAGATATTGATTCCTAAAAAAATAGAAAAGCTGGATTTTTTTTAGCAGAAAACCACTTAAATTGAGTAACTTCTATTTCATTTATTGGAGAAATTACTTCAACACTAAGCTAAATGTTTTTTTAATGCTGTACTTTTATAATTACTAAAATAATAAATCAAACCATATGCACGTATTCTTTTCTATTTAATTTCCTTTTGTTAGTTCATACTTAATGTAATGAATAATTAATACAAAATTAAGTTTAATTACTGTTTGACATGACAGTTTATAATTGAAATGTTAGCAGAGATGTATCTGACAAAGTGAATTATACTGAAAAAAGCATATTTTGCCAAAAAAGATTAAAATGTCTGGTATCCTTGAATGACTGGTGTAATATTTCACCCCTAATTAGTGATCTTTCTTTGTAGTGATCAGTCACAAAGTGACTCCAGTACTAAAGACTTTTGGATGAACATGCAAGCTATAACTGTCTACCTCAAGAAATTATCAGAGCAGAATCCATCTGCATCCTATTACAACGTGGATGTTCTAAAGTATCAGGTAAACACTTTTATCCTTTTGAAGATTTTAATATATATATAATATATATAGTATATATAATATATAAATATATTTATATATAAATATATTTATATATTAATATATTTATATACTATATATATACTCAGAAATTAAAAGAATTATTCTTTATCTGCCAGCATGGAGGTGAACTGTCATCCCTCATCTCTACTTAAAATGCATAGACTCTGCCCAGGCTTAGCACATTATGTTTCTTGTCATTGCCTAAGATACAGGGCTTGTTTCAGCTTACTAATGCTTCGGATCAATCCTACAGGCAAGCTTCAAACACTGCTTTTTTTGATATTTGTCAGCAAAGTCAAATTCTCCTTTAAGAAATTTGATGGGAACTTCTTGTCATTTGTACTTGGACTGTCTTTGATTTTGCAATTGCCTACACTTTGGATGCTGTCACTGAAAAATTTTAATACATGGTTTGCAGTTGTAAGAGAGTCGGTTTAGATTAGATATTAAGAAAAAAGTCTTTCCTCAGTGGGTGGTGAGTCACTGGCACAAGTTTCCCAGAGACATTTTGTTTTCCCCATCTATCCCTGACAGTATTCAAGGCCAGACTGGGTACGCCTATGAGCAGCCTTATCTGGTGAAAGTTGTCTGTGCCCATGATGAGGGTGGGTTGGAACTATATGATCTTTAAGGTCTCTCCCAACCCAAACCATTCTATGATTCTATCTGAGAATGTAGGACATTCTGATTTCCCACAATGAGAAATAGAACAGTAGTCAGAATGGATTTACTGAGTGTGAGTCAGGCTTGACCAAGCTGACAAACAGCTGTGGTGACATGACTTCCCCTGTGGATGAGGGCAGAGCAGTAGATAGATATTGTCTGCTCAGCCTTCAGGATGCCCTTCCACACCACCTACCACAGAATCCATATAGGGAAGCTGATGAAGAACAGACTGGATGAGCAGATGCTGAGGTGAACTGACACCCAGGGGGTATATTGATTTTACAGTTTAATAACTTAATTAATGAATGATGGGACAGAGCGTATGAATCCTTGGCAAGTTTGCTGATGATACCAAATGGGGATGGCCCTCGGGATAAACCAGAGGATTATTTTGCCCTCACAAGGGGGCTCAACAGGCTGCAGAAATGGGCTGAGAGGAACCTCATGAAGTTCAACAAGAGGCACACTTGGGGAAACCAAGTGGAAATTATCATGGCAGAAAAGGACCGGAGGGTTCTGTGGGTGACCATGTTGAACATGAGCCAAAACAATTCGCTGCTCATGTGCAAAGGCAGCAGATGTTCTCCTGGATGGTCTTCTGAGCTGCATTAGGCTAGGTATTGCTAGTAAGTGGAGGGAGGGGATCCTTCCACTCAGCACTGGTAACACCACACCTGGGGTGCTCTGTTCATTTCTGGGTTCATAGCTAATGAGACTAGATAGTGTTCAGCAAAGGGCCATGAAGGTGATGGTGGGACTGGAGTATCTGTCCCATGAAGAAAACCTAAGAGTGTTGGGACTCCTGAGAAAAGGGAAAATTCAGGGAAATCTCATCAATATGTATAAATACCTGAGAGAGGGCACAGAGAGGACAGAGTTAGGCTGTTTTCACTGGTGCCCAGTGTCAGAATCAGAGACAATGGATACATGCTGAATCACAGGAAATTCCTTCTGAATGGCCAGAACCGCTATTTTTCTTGTGACAGTGGCTGAGCACTGGGCACAGGTTGCCTAGAGGGGTAGTGGAGTCTCCATTCTTAGAAGTGTTCAGAAGTTGTCTGGAGCTTAGGCAGCCTGTTGGAGGTGGCCCTGCGTGAGCTGGAGGGCTGGACCAGACAGCCTCCAGGAGGTCTCTGTCAACTTCACCCATTTGGCGCATCAGTGAGATGATGTTCTTGCTGTTAATAAAATATATTCAAGACATACTCACCTCAAAGAGAAAACAGAGACTTTCTAGGCCTGCCTTGAAATGTTTGAACATCTGAGACAACTGTCTGCGCAACAAAAAAACCCTGAAAATTACCCTGAAAACTACTCTGAAAAACACTGAAAATAGTCCAGCTGTTCATACCTGTAGTTTCCACATCTGCCTAGTGTGGTTTAAAATCCTGGCATACTGAACCTGCAAAAAGCATGTTAGGCACACAAATTTCTTGAGAAAGGTGAGAGGAAAAAACATTTGGTTTGCTGAAATGAGTACTACATATTCTTGTAAAAATGAGGCATTGGCATGTGGAAACCCGGAAAAATCAAAATGGTTTTGGGCAGACACAAAAAGGCCAGAGGCATCAGGACATAGGAGATTGCTCCAACAGATTGAGAAGGTGGTTGAGATGCATCAGCACAATAGAATGAGCTCAGCTACAGAAGCAGCATTCACCCCTCCTGCAGCAGGAAAATAATGCTTTGAAGAGGTTAGAACTATTCTGCTGGTGGCCTGTCCCACAATGACAGGTATTGTTCTCTGGTGCTGCCTGGTTGGGCAGCTGAATTGGCACAGCACACAACTGCTAAGGATGAAGTCATTTTGCTGTAAGCATGCATCTTGCCTAAGGCAGAACACAACAAAAACAAACCTTACAAAAAGTTATAAAAAAGCAGGAAGGAGCCTCATAGGCCAGAGGGAGTTCAAACCTTTTCTTCAAGTATTTTAATTTAAAATTAAAATAACAGGAATTCCTTTAGGCAACAGTCCTCCAAATTCTGTGATTAAAAGGTCAATTGTTATCTTGATATTTTGTCAGCACTGAGACTTATCTTAATTACCATCATCCCCTAATTCTTCCCAAAAGGTGGATATCTTAATTGTTTTCAATGGTTTGTTCTTTTACAGGTATCTTCAAATGGCATACAGTCCACTCCATTGAATCTTGCAACTTACTGGAAATGTGATGCTAGCACTACTGATGTGAGAGTGGATTATAAATACAATCCAGAGTCTATGAATGTGCCTAGTATGCTGTCTAATGTCCAGGTTGTGGTACCAGTAGATGGAGGAGTAATAAACATGCAGTCACTTCCACCTGCAAAATGGTAATATTAATTCTTTTCAGTATGTTTTCAGATGCATGTCAGTGCATTCTTTAGTGTCATAGCCTGAAAAATTTCACAGGAAGAAATAGCAAAATGTGTAGTATCAAATGTCTAGATATTTTGTAGTCTAAATCAGAGATCACGTGCCTCCAGTTCACATAAACTGAGTGAGTACCCATCCCAACTGTGTAGTAATACAAGCCTTTATGAGTTTTCCAATGTTTGCTTTCTTTTGTCTGATAGAATAGACAATTTTAATACAGTAATTTGAAGAGGTTAAAAAATATTTTCTCTGTGTGTAACAATGTATTCTTATAAGGGGATTATATAGAAAAAGTAGCAGAAAGGCAGATTTTTTTCCTGATAGTTCTAACATAAAAATTAACTTCTAATGGAAATAGTTTTAAAACAAATCTGAGTAACTGAGGAGCTCTCCATGAGCCGGGTAGCACTATCTTGCAATTTAAGTGTCATGCAGATTATTAGACTACCTGCCACCACCTTCTGAGCCTGCATTTACAGTAGCACTTCAAAGTGTAACATAAGTAGTAGGAAATTATGTTACAAGTTTGTGGAAACACGCGGATGGTAGTGAGACTAGACAGAGTAGTACAGCCCTGGAGCAAATGTGAGCAGAATTCAATCACTGTGCCTGTACAGCATGTACATACTTGTCCAGCTGTAACATAAATCCTGGACTGTTTATTCCCAAAATGGTCTTTTTAATGTGAAGAGGGCAAAGAACACCAAGTGGAAGCAAGTTAGGCTTTGTTAATTTTATTTCTTATAGATCAGTTTACCTTACAGAGCAAGGCTTAAAAGAAAAATAAACATGATGCATTTATTTGGGTGGATTCTGATGTTTCTGGAGGCAATACAGTTACAGGTGTTTATTGGACAATGTAGTAATAGAGTATAGTTTTAAATAGAAAAAATTCTTTACAGGATTGAATCCTTCTTGACTTGGTATTTTAAGGAAACAGTTCTTTTAACCAAATTGTAAGCTTGTTTTGAACAAGAACATGTTAAGTATCCCATCTGAACAACACTACTACACTGTGGTGAAGCTGGTCTCCCTGCCTAAGCTTCTTCCACAAACCCACTGTAACGAAGCTGGAGTGAAAGCAGGAACACCCATCCAGAGCACACAGTTTTAGCTGGAAGGCTTAGGTATAGTTGCATTAGTGAATTCATGTAGGCAACTTTCAAGACCCAGAATTTTGAGCCTGGCAAGCTGACCAAAGGTAAAAAATTCAGTTATGTCCTAGGCAGGTATAGTATTTGTTCCATCTAGTGGATTGGGTGGTGGGGTTTTGGTCTTTTTTTAGGAAAAAAAGTTGCTATAGCTTGACTTCCTGTGAGTAAATGCTACCATATGTGCTACTTATGTGAGCATTTCAGTCCTGCTACATCAGTGGCAAGAGGAATTTCAAACCTATCAGCACTTCATGCTGCTCACAGCTTTAAGTTGTTGAATTTCCTTTAATGCAACTGCTAGAAACTCCTCCAGGAGTTAAAATGCTCTGTCAGCTCTTGGTACCCTTTCTGCCCTTTACAGTGTCTGAAGTTAGCTTGAACAGAATGTTACTAATGCCAGTGAGTTTTACTAGAATGGAAATGGAATAAAATTCATGCTCTCAGGACTCTCAGGAGAGAATAGTCAACATTGCTCCCCATTCTATCTTCATCATGAAGCATCAAGGCATAGCTTCCAGAATAACTTACTCTTTAAGACTGCAGAGGGGTTTGAATTTTGGAGCCATAGGTGAGGACACAGGACAGTGTTAAATGTGTAAAAAATTACTGTGTAAAATGTGTAATGAGCATGTTCTTCTGAGCTCACTGCTCTGGAGTGATGCAGACACACCTTTCTCTTTTCCTGTAGTTTTCCACAGACTTACCTTAAAATATGCAAATATTTTTATGGGCTTCCATTTAGAGATGTTTGTAATATACCAGTGTAAATCAAAGGAAATAAAGTTCTAAACGCAGTAGTTTGTAACTAGCCTACCATTGTCTTACAGGAATGCAGACCAGATGAAAGCATGTTGGAAAATATCTAGCATTTCAGAGAAGTCTGAGAATGGAGGCAAGTTGAACTCTTTTGTTTTTCTTTCTTGTACAGACAATTTTTATCAGTAAACAGGTGATTATTTTAGCCTCCATGCCCTCCTCATTCTTTTTTACACATTTTCTTATGCTGTAACCTGTTTACTAGTTCACATTCTTTTCAATTAATTGCCTCGTGAGAGATTCCATTATGAGTGAGATGTCAAAATATAAATTTAATTATTAGCTATATAAAAGACAATAATGAAGTACCCTGAAAACAGTTAGTAGTTCTAAAATACAATTTAGATAGAATAGGAAATTTTTGCGTTCATGCAATTTGAAAGTGAGCATCTACTCAAATGAAAATAGGTTTAATATCTGTGTCTTTCCACACATAGATAATTTAAATACATTAGAAGGAGGTAAGTGGAAGAACTAGGGGTAAAAACAAAAAATCCAAAAGTCCTGAGTTTAGATATATTAGTCTTGACCAACATGTTGAGTCTTGGTTTTGACCATAATGACTCCAGGAAAAACTTAATCTATGCACATCTGCTCAGAGTGGTAATTTATACAATATTGCATAAGGTACCAGTAGTTGTCCTCTGCCCAGTGCCATTCTCTGAACTGTAGTTGATGTCACAACCCCTGCAGTCTCTGCAGGTGCAGTATTTTTGTGAAGTAGTAGAGCAGCTGAAACATCTTATCCTCAAAGCCGCTATGGAGAAATGAACTGCTAATGTAAAGGAAAGGCCTTTAATCCTGTTAAGAATTTAGTGAAGAGGATTGTGAAATCACAGATTTGCCTGTAAATGTGACTGGTTTCATATAGAAACCACAACCATAGAAAGAGAAGACAACTTCTATTCCTGCAAAGGCTCCAAAGTTGTGGTTATCATTGAAAGAAAATCAGAGAGAATTTTATTGAACACAGGTGATTAGTCTAGTGTACTTTGTCTTTCACTAATCTCACAGTTCTTTGCCATTTGTCTTCACTACATTGGATTAGCCCTCTTCCTTTCTTTTCCCCCTCTCTTTTCTGAACTTTGTGACTTTTTTAAAAAGGAAAAATCATACTGAAACACAAATGTAGCCAGATGAAGAGGAATTTTACACCTGCAGTACAGCACAGAATTGACTGCTAGTGATCTGCTAGTGATCCAGTTTGCATCTTGTATGTTGACAGCAGAATTGCACATATCTCACTGCCTCTGCTGTATTCCTTCTTTTCCCACCATCTTTTCCTCCCCTTTTCTTTGAGTATAAACATGTATAGTACTCCCAGTTCAGGAGAAAGCAATAATGTGCTGATCTTGCACTTACAGAAGCAAAGGGAGAAGTTGCACAAACACTGTCAATGTCAGCACAAGTGTCGTGAAGTCTTTTCTCCTGGTGGACAGCATGATAAAATTTAAGGAGGCTTTTTATGGTCCAACACATTATGTGATCTGTCAGCTGGAGAGGGATAAAACACAGAACAAGCTTTCAAAGCACTTGAATATATGAGTTTCCATAGTTAGAGTGGAAAGAATCTCTAGTTCACTGAATAAGGCAGACCTACTGAAAGAAATTAAGAAATTAAATTGATCTTAAGCTAATTTTATGAAGAACAAGCTACTGTGTGAAACAATATCTTTTAGTTCCTGCTTTTAGCTCAGTACCATTTCTGTTACTAACTTTCCTTGTAATTTAGCAGTTCTTATTGATAGGAATAGCAAGCTGTTTTAAAGTAAAATTATTCCATTAATTTTAATTTAAATCTCATTTTCCCAGCACACTTTGCAAGAGCAAGAAAAGACCTGTCTTAAAACTAAAAAGTAGTAGCAATGAGGGGATTTTAAAAATGCCTTTCATTGCCTACAGAAATCTATTTAAATCTATTATTGCTTTATAATACTATCAAAGTGATACCACTTCACCACTGTCTCTGAAAAAAATCAACTGAAATTTGTGAGAAGTATTTAATCAGACCTTGTCTTTATTGGAAACATAGTAATTTCTGTCCTCTGGGTGCATTACTGTAGAACCTCATTTCTTCCAATGTTTTTGTTCATGTACTTTGATCTACATTGATCATGACAACTCCTAAATGTTCTGCTAGTGAAAGACAGATAGTTTCTCCTCTCTATCAATCAGATACTATATACCACAAGATAGATGGTAGTAAGTACTTAGAGACCAGCAAGTATAAATTATTATAGGAACCAATCAGATTAGTAAGTGACTACCAGGCTGATACCCACCTTTTGGATAATCTTGCAGACTATTGGATAAAACAGACTTGTTCTCTTACTGCTTTTGAAAGTGTATATAGGACTGCCACTGGGAATAGATGTCAGAGGTCACCATATTAGTTTCACTTCTTATTACTAAAAATTTGGAGAGATCCTTTTGCTTTTGCAAAACAATCAGCTTCTCAGTTTTGTTTTTATAGGTTCTGGATCCCTCAGGGCAAAATTTGAGCTTTCAGGAGGACCCAGTAAACCAGCAACACTTGCAGTGCAATTCATCAGTGAAGGAAGCACCCTTTCAGGAGCAGATGTGGAACTTGTAGGCACTGGCTATCGGCTTTCCCTTCTTAAGAAGAGATTTGCCACTGGTAAGACACTGACATGCTTATATATTCAAATTAATGTTGTATATTCTCTAGCGTCAAATTCTAAAATATGAAACTGTTAAATGAGTGATGAGTTAAATAGTTACTCTTTATTGAAACACTTTTGACAAATCAGTTTGTTTTTCCGCAGTATTCAGACTGCTCCAAGGAAAATACTGACAAAATCTAGTTTATCTATTGACTGCAAAAAATTTACCTTTGTTTTTCAGGACGATATATGGCAGACTGTTGATGTACCTGTGAAAGTCATTGGATCAGGAGTGCAAGAAACACTTGTGACGATAGGAACTCTGCCCTCTCTATTTTTCAAACACTATTTTAACATGCATTAATTTTTAAAAATATTGACTTACTTTGAGGCTAAACTACAGAAAGTAAATGCACTTTTAAAGTCATTTTGAAAACCTTTATTACTTTACAATAGCACTGAAGTTAATTTCAACACTGTCTGTAAATGATCAACTGCAATACTTGGGAAAATTTGTTGAAAAATTAGTAACTTTGTATAGATGAAGTCAAAATAGTAATCCACAGTTGTAATGGAAGTATGAAATTTTATGTTGTACTGTAAACATTAAACCTAAAATATAGGGGATCTAGTAAGAAATATTTGAGCTTTCATAAGTAATACTCATTTTTCAGATTCTTTAATTGCCAGCTTTTAATTGACAGTTTATAAAGATAGAGGCTATGTCTTGTGTAGTTCTTCTTTCCATTCATAACACAAGAACAGCTGAGTTAGAGATGTATAAAAATAACTTGATGCCCATGTATCATATATTATTAAAATGTAAGTTGTTTCATATAGGGTTTTTTTTAACTAAGTGCAATGTGTTACAAATTGCAAAACACAGCAGAGATTTACTTCTGCAGTTAGTAAAAATTTTTGGGCCTTGTTATTGTTTTAGTTAATGCAGTAGATTTAATTTATTTTTATATTAATTGCATAACTTTTGTGCCTTTTAAAAATGCCTGTGCCTATCTAATTTGATACTCATGTGCCTCACTTCCTTTTTCAAAGTGTGGCTCTTCATCAAGAAAGCATGGCGTTTGTATAATGCACAGAACTTTATAAAAATTCTTTTTACTGCAATTTATTTAGAAGGCAGGTTTTGCAAAAACTGTAGTTTGTTTTAAAAGAAATTCAAAACACTGAATTATTTCCTCAATGAATAATTGCAAGTAAATGTGGTTTTAGTAAAGGGAGCTGCATCATGCAGTACTCGGAAACTTTTTAATTAACTAATTTTAATATCACCAAAGAGGAGAATCTGAAAAATCAGTGAGGATAGGAAAAACAAACTTCTGAAAGCAAACAGCATTACTCTTTGCTTTGCCTATAAGTCTTCAGACTTCGAGTGGTTTTGGGGATGTGCGATGTGAATGTACACAAAGTACTTCAGGAGACATTGTAAAGAATATTTTATGGCTGCAGGACGACAAATCCTGTCATGTATTCATTTTTTTTATAGCTACCAGTTTTAATATTTGTATTGTAATCTAATCTGCTTGCTACAGCATAAGCACAGGAAATTGACACATCAGTAACAATTTTTTTAAGCAAGTCACTAATTTAGAAAATTTTCTATGTATTTGTATTACCAAGCTTTTTTGTAATGTTGAAATGATAAGCATTGGGGCAAAATAATTCAATAACCTGCATTTGGCAATTTCAAATGAACATTTAGCATACAAGTATGTATTTCAAATTCTCTATTAAAACAGTAAAATATGCTTGAGTTAATTCATGCAAAGCCAGTAATGAATTGGTCTGCTTTACAAGAAATTATGCCTTTGTAGAAGCTGCATAAATTGTCGTGTACTCTAGACACTTTTGCCGGTGAGAGTTTCATTGTTAGTGCTAAGAACATTGTGTACTGTAGATTTGATTGGAAGAGTATATTTGGCTCCTATATTTTGCTAATCTTATTGATGATAAATTTACAACTCATAAAATGGTGGTCTTTTTATTGGAATTTTAATTGTAACCTGTTTTGCAATCAAACTGATTAACACAACAATATTTTATTAATGAAAACCCAAATCTATTATTGCTATTTTTAATCAAGTATTACATTAATTTCTAAGATAAATGAAGTAGTTAATGTTTCAGCACTTTTAAGCTAGCCTTCATTCTGGTGTTTTTCATACATTTGCTTTGGGTGCAGGCTACAATTTTGAAGCCATACAAGTTTATATAGACATTTTGTAAAGAAACTCAAAAACAATGTAAAAAGTATGTGTAGCTATCTGATTTAAAATAAAAAAAAACTTATGTAGCAAGCTGGTTCTTGCTTGTGTATACAGCAATGTCCCTTGTAGCTGCCTCCTAAGAAAATTAATTTGTGAAGACAACTCTAAAGGACCTGAATTTTTATGAATTGTTACTACATTAGACTGTAAATTAGAACATACAAGTTTATCTTTCAAAAATTGTAAATACTCTGAATTTTCATTAAATGTAAATTTTAAAAATTTGCACCCATAATAAACATGTAATATATAATTTAAATACTGATTTATATTGCCTGTACTTTTGCAGTAAAGTTCTTCTAAGCAATAAGGTAATAGAGAAAAACCATGCCTGCATTGAACATTTGAAAATACTCATTTTTAAGTGATAAAGGGTAGAGATCATTATGAACTCTTTTGTATATATTTAAAATCATCACAGAGAAGGTGAATGGAAAGATGACTTTTCTAGAACATTTCATCTTTACTAAACCATAATGTCTGAGATGTCTGTAGTGCCCTACGCCTTTACTAAATTGATTCACTTCACTAATAAATTAGATTAGGCAAAACTGGATATGTTTATGAGAAAAATCTTGACTCATGGACATGAGTTGCTGTCTGTAAATAGTGCTGTCAAATGCTGTACATTGTCTTTGTTTATGAGCCTATATCTTCTTGTGTCTGCAGGAGAAGAATTAGTGACAAGATTGAAGTAATTCCTTCTGATTTCTAATGTTCACCAGTCAAAAGGCGTAGACAATTTAGAACTTCTCCAGCAGTCTGTATGGTTTAGTCCTTCTAAGCTTTGAGCACAGAACAGAAGCTGAAACTGAACAAATGTTTTTGCATCTGTTTGGTTCCTACTAATCCCAAGGCCTGCAGAGGCTTAGTAAGTAATAACTTATTAAATTCACTTTCTCAGCTGGTTGAACATCACTGCAATAGAGGTACCATTCTTGTCATGCAGGAAAGCAATAGTCCAAGGGCTTGATTCTTATCTTCTGGCCGGCAGGAATGAAGAACACAAGTACTTAGTGGTCAGACTGGTCCATGTAACACAGTAGTCTGGTGTTCAACACCGGCCAAAGAACAGGCTGAGCCTTGGAGAGCTAATGTGTCATTTGCTTTCTGATCCCCCAGCACCTCATTTGTTGGTTAGAAATGTAAAAAGGTGCTGCTAGTTCTTCTAGTATTCATTGAACTTAAAGTGTAACAGATCTGACTGAGGCTGCTCTGGCAATTCTTTTAACACTTGACTTACACCCACATACTGCTCATAACTGCTGCAAACTGGATTTCTACTGTCCAAGCAGGTTTGTGATTATCTAACTACACAATCAGGTAGTTTTTCAGGGAAACCTATCTCTAGCACTGCCAAATAACATTTCTGTAGGGTATTTGAAGGAACTAAGGTATTTAATTATGAACTGGAACAGCATGAGTTACAACTGTGGCAAGTTTTGCTATCTAACATAAAAACAAGATCTTGGATCATGGCAAAAAGTATTACATTTCAAGTCTTGTATGTTTGCAAAGCTTAAGATACACAGATGTTAAGATGCCTATCTTAAGTTTTGCAATTCATACATAATTGGTTTCCATTTCAGTTGTTGTGAAAGGGAAATTATACTTAAGAGCGTGCAAGAAAAAAAGTCAGGAATTCCTCCAAGCATAGCATAAGCTAAAAACAGTTCAAAGTACTAAAGCATCAGATAACACATCTACTGTTTAGTTAGCATTGATTGGACTGATTAAAAAGTCTCTCAAGTGAAAACATAATTTTTACCTTTAATTCTACATATTATTACACCAGTAAGTATTCTGCTCAGCTTACTTTGACCTCCATGTTTACTGATATGTTGATTTTTGGATTCTCCATTACTTCATTCAATAACCAATATAAGGCATACAGTCTTAAAGAAGAGGCCTCTTCTGGATTACTTACTGAACATTTAGAGCTCTAATTCTGCATTTTCTGTAACTGCTTTTTTTCACTTCCTTTGGAATAAATTCTTTTTGTTTTTCAATCTGCAATGGCTACTTTAATTACTGTAACCTAAAATATCTTTGTTTGTCATTGTTCTAGCTGAATTTATTTCTAACAGTCTTGTTCTGTAACTTACTATTACTCAGGAGGTTTTTCAAAAAAGTTAATAATCATAAGCTGTAAATCATGCCAATTTCACTACTCTGATTATTCAGCTTTTCCTTTTATCATGTCCCAACCTGTTTTCTTCAAGTTCTCAGCTCTTAAGTCATGTTTTCTACTCCAGAAAGTTAGCAGTGGTAATGTGTTCAGCAATGACTCAAATAATATTATATTTATATAATAAATTACTCCATCCTGGTTAAGAAAGCAGCCCATTTTTATCGTAATTGTTGATTCTCCCCTCCAGATGTCCCCTCCTGTTTTGCTATTTGATAAGCTTCTTATAATATCCACGGCTTTATAAGGCTTCCCTTCTGTTTCTCACTCTTGTCATTGGTAGGTTATATGAACAGTCATCACTGAAATGAAACAGTCATAACAGAAATGTTAAGGCTGCTCCAATGTTAGTACCAATGAATTGCATCCAGGTAAGATGCACTAATGCAGGGGTAGAAGAAAACCAAAACCCAACTCAAAAGCTCAAAAACTGTTGTTCACCTTCCATCTCTGTTGAACTCTTTTTCTCTGACACCTTACAGGACCATGCATTTAGACAGAGAATCAAAGACAGAGAACAGACAGAAGGTTAAGCCCCTAAGCAACTGACTTCATTCTTCAATGCAAGTTTCTCCCTCTCAGGTGAGAATTCCTTGGCCTTTGTGCATGAGTCCCTTCTCACTTTTGAGCAGTTCCTAGGTTGACAGCACACTCCAAGCACTCGGGTATGTGAATGCAGGAGCACTGTTGCAGTCTGTGATCTCCCATCTCTGCAGCTGACATCCCTCTGTATTCTCACCAGTCTGTTCCCATGGGTGGGCCAAGTGCAGCCACACCTTTTGCCCTGCTGAAATCACAGTTCCATGCTCTGAGTCACCTGATTGAAAACAGTAGATTGGATCCCTGCTTCTAGTGAGATTACAGAATAAATTTAGTTTTATTTGGGGACTAAAATGCAGAAGATTTCTCAATGTAAAAACTGCATCTTGTACATCTAGCTCAAGAAACTCGGTCCTCAGACAACTGCTATTAGTCTGGCATAATTTCTTTAGCTAGAATAGAGTAGCAAACACTACACTCACAGGAGAGAGAATAGGGAAATTACAGGGGAAAATTAATGTGGGCACAAGTGTTCCCTGCAGATAAAGGAAAGAATATGTATTTGCCACAACTTTCCAATAGAGGAGTTGAAAATTAAATTCATGATGATGGGCCGTTAGAGTTACTTTATTGGCATTTTTGCAAGATACTTGAGAATACTATCAAACTTCTCAAAATAGAAGTGTTGTCTTTAATATGATGGCAAAACATGGAGGATGTGTTCTCTGTTCACCTAGCTATGAGCTAGAACTTGTCACTACTGCACTCACCTAAGTACCAGCCTTTGCTTACAGGAAACAAAAAGTTTCCCAGTGAGAGAAATATGGAACCTGTCCTCCCATTTTCCTCAGCTATGACCTTTCCACACTGTTTAAGGTGACTGCTTTTGCCAGCTGCTCCCCAAGAGATTCCACAAAAACATTCTTTAGAATTCAAGAGGTTTTTGGCAAATACCATTTTGTAGTCCTCCAAGTGATTCTCCGGCTCAAAAGAGTCCTACAGTAACATGGTTTTGATAAAGAAGTGTGAAACCGTTGAATAATGTTTCTCAGGAAGGAGTTCATCCCTCATGTAGGCAGCAACAGTGCAGTCTATGGCTTTTCATGGTACTTATGATTAGGAAAAACCAGCTGTTGTCACAAATTGTAAAAGAAACTTTCAAAAAAGTATTACGCTGTTCTTGAAATGGTAACTGTTACCTCAGCATCAGTTTATAAGCAAACAGTGTTCTGAGATTTACCAGGTTGGAGTCCTTCTGGGCCCAGGAACATGGACTCAGCTATACCTTCTCTCTAGGTCATCAGTAAAGGTGTTTGTATCAACACACAGGAGGAGCAGTAGTATCCAGAAGACATGTACACTATTTCAATTACTGACAACAGTCTACTGTTGCCATTATTTTCGTGTGTGGAGCAAAAATGCTTTGTTTGTATGACAAGCAGTACCAGTGTCCTGCTATGTCCTATTACATACTGTAAAGTATTCACAGCATATGGTGCATACACAACAGAGTCTGAACAGAAGACTGATTTTTGCATCACCCCTGTAAAAGCTAAGTGGTGATCAGCTATCTCCTGCTACTCCAGTCAGTTATCTTTTCAGTTGTTTTTTCTGGAATTGTAAAATACTGTAAAACAATAAGAATATTGTTAAGACATTGGCTGGTGTTTGTAAGGAACAATATCTTACTCATCTGTTCAGACAAAGACTGGTTATACAATTGTTTTAAAATTCTTGTTAAGTCTCTTTGGACACTTGCCTTTAGTTAAAGGATCTCTTATTCTCTTCAACATTTAAAAGTGTTCCACACTTGTTCTGTATCTCCATGAAAGTTTAGGAAGCCCTTCTTTGCCTCTCTCCTAGCAAGGCAGGTGTTTTAATGGTTATTGCTGCCACTATCTATATGTAAAGACATGTGAATTGTATGTTTACAACAGATACACAATCATCTAACCAGATGTTTGCAAGTAATTAGTCAAATGAGTATTAGATCACATCACGTGTATCTTTCATTGTTCTCTATATGTGTAACTGGCTCTACAGAGAATAGTGTTGGCATATACTCCACTGTCATATCTATAACCAACTATGATAGTAGTAGCAATCTTACCAAGGTGTGGGACATGTTAAAAATATGTGGGATTATTTCTATGGTGAAGAAACTGATGTAAGCCTCAAGAAATAAGGCACCCTGCATCAGACATCCTTTCTATAGTCAGTATTTTTTAAATCAGAAAAACACACAGCTGCTGGTAAGGATCATATTGGAGCGACTTGCAGTCTGCTTACAACTTGATTTACACATCTACTGTTAGCTTTCAAGTGGTCTTCTGTCATCCGTATCTAATCTTGGAGAACTCCTTTGGAACACCTGCCTGGGTTAAGAAATTCAGTGCTCTTGTACAGCAACTTGTTTTCTTCTAGGAGGGTCCTGGACTCTGCAGAAACTGCCAAACTTGCTGGCTGTTAGCAGGTTATGGGCAATTCATTTGTAGTGCCAGAATGAGCTCAAAAGTGGGGGTGGGAGTTGTGGAAAGAAACAAACATAAATGAAGCTCTCTCTGATGCAGTTGACCAAGAATCATAAATAACACCTCATTTTAAGTTGCCTACCTGAACTGCACAACCAAACATTAGTGACAACCAAGTCAGAATTACTTGATTGCATTTGTTGTTAGTAATCAGATTCAGGTAGTATGGCCAGGTGCTACTACAAATGGTTAACTTTTATATTTTTGGATATGCTCATAATTCAATAATCCTTCGAGTGAGATGCCTACCATAAATGAACACAACCCAATTAGTTTCCACTACAGCTTCATGATGAGCAGTTTCCTCAATAGTTCAACATTGTCAAAAGGCATGGGCCAAGCTGTCCATCTTCACTCAACACGCCTTGTATCAGCTCTGTACCACCTCTGTACATATCTGCTTACTAACCAAACATAAGTCAAAGTCAGAAAGCAAGAAAATTCTGTTCTAAGTTAAGCCAACTGAACCATCTTGCAGGAGGATCTGGCAAATAGGGATTCCTGACCTAGGAGTAGAGATGGAATAGGGAATGAGATCTCCCAATATAGACAACAACACATCAGCAGCCTGGGCTTACTAAATCACAGTCAGAGATGGGAACTAAAAGCAGCTGGCTCCAATGACATAAGGGAAGACTTCTCTTAACAGTGGCTTTAAATCCTGAAATTATAAACTATACAAGATTGATAAGAAAAGAAAATTAAATACAGGGGTAGGAAAGTCCATGGAGATAGTTTCACTGAGGGTGAAAAACAGGTGTTTGCTCTAAAAAACAACAAAAATGTTTCCCTTCCACTGTGTTATGGGATCCATACTAGCTGGATATGCTAGAATTGGTAAAAATAAAGAGAGTGAGAAAGAAAAGTATTCTGTAAATATTTTGCCATATCTCTTTCAGGCTATCTAGATCATGTAGTCACATGGTGAAAATACTTGGCAATCCAAGAGTATCTAAAGAGAGATATTAATACATCATCTACTAAAATAAATATTTTTAAACCAGCATATCTGATAAACAACATCCAAGAATTTAGGAAGTTGAATAAGCCATACTATGGATCATTAATTTTTATTTCAGTGATTCTCAAATACTGGAAAGGATTACAAGATTAAAAGAAAGATAACACCATTACAGAAAAAAAAAAAAGGGAAAAAAAAAAAGGGTGTCAATCCAAATAACTATAATATAGAACTTGGTAAGAAAATTTTAAAAAGCATTTAAGATAATTAGTGTCAATCATGGATGTGCCAAATAAAGGTCTACTAATTTAGGATTAGGTTGAAAATCTGGTTCATAAGAATAATAGGGTCAAAGGAAAAAAGGATTTATGTAAGATGCCTGATTTAGAAGTACACAACATTTGGTTTATAACTAGAGCAATGCAAGAACATAATTAAAAAATCAGTCGTAAGATGTAACTGAAGAGGGAATCAAATTTAAACACCATTCTGGTGGATTCCTGCAGACTTCATAATATCTAATGTTTTTCCAATTACTGATGTTAAAAAAGCTGAAACTTTGCAGATGAGCTGGAGGACAAAAAAATATGCTAGGTTTCAAGTGCAGTTTTTAACCACTTCATGTCATCCAAAATGGCAGGAGGATGCTATAGAATCAAATAAGTAGGGACAAAAAACCGTCCCTTTGGGATTACTAAGGATACTCCTGAACTATTCTTAAAAAGTCACCCAGCACCAGATCTTGTGAAAAGTCTGCAGATCTTCATGGGATCACAGAAGATCTGAGGCTAGAAGAAACTCTGAACATCACCT